TGGTAGCTTGATGGGGATAGGATTGAATCTATAAATTACTTTGGGCAGTATGGTCGTTTTCACGATATTGATTCTACCTATCCATGAGCATGGAATGTTTTTGCATTTGTTTGTGTCCTCTCATATTTCCTTTAGCGGTGGTTTGTAGTTCCTCTTGAAGAGGTACTTCACATCCCTTGTAAGGTGGATTCCTAGGTATTTTATTCTCTTTGTAGCAATTGTGAATGGGAGTTCACTCATGATTTGGCTCTCTGTTTGTCTATTACTGGTATATAGTAATACTTGTGATTTTTGCACATTGATTTTGTATTCTGAGACTTTGCTGAAGTTGCTTATCAGCTTAAGTTGATTTTGGGCTGAGACGATGGTGTTTTCTAAATATACAATCATGTCATCTGCAAACAGAGACAATTTGACTTTGTCTCTTCCTATTTGAATACTGTTTATTTCTTTCTCTTGCCTGATTCCCCTGGCCAGAACTTCCAATACTATGTTGAATAGAAGTGGTGAGAGAGGGGATCCTTGTGTTGTGCCATTTTTCAAGGGAATGCTTCCAGTTTTTGCCCATTCAGTATGATAATGGCTGTGGGTTTGTCATAAATAACTCTTACTATTTTGAGATACATTCCATCCATACCTAGCTTATTGAGTTTTTAGCATGAGGGGGTGTTGAATTTTATCAAATGCCTTTTCTGCATCTAGTGAGATAATCGTGGTTTTTGTGATTGTTTCTGTTCATGTGATGGATTATGTTTATTGATTTGTGTATGTTGAACCAGCCTTGCATTCCAGGGATAAAATTGACTTGATCATGGTGGATGTGCTGCTGGATTCGGTTTACCAGTATTTTTTTGAGGATTTTTGCATCAATGTTCATTAGGGATATTGGCCTGAAATTTTGTTTTTTTGTTGTGTCTGCCAGGTTTTGGTATCAGGATGATGCTGGACTCATAAAATGAGTTTGGGAGGAGTTCCTGTTTTTCTGTTGTTTGGAATAGTTTCAGAAGGAATGGTACCAGCTCCTCTTTGTACCTCTGGTAGAATTTGGCTGTGAATCATCTGGTCCTGGGTGTTTTTTGGTTGGTAGGCTGTTACTGCCTCAATTTCAGAACTTGTTATTGGCTTATTCAGGGATTTGACTTCTTCCTGGTTTAGTGTTGGGAGGGTATCCAGGAATTTATCTATTTCTTCTAGATTTTCTGGTTTGAATAGAGGTGTTTATAGTATTCTCTGATAGTAATTTGTGTTTCTGTGGGATCAGTGGTGATATCCCCTTTATCATTTTTTATTGTGTCTATTTGATTTTTCTCTCTCTTCTTTATTAGTCTGATTAGCGGTCTATGTTGTTAATCTTTTCAAAAAAAAAAAAAAAAAACCAAAAAAACCAGCTCCTGCATCCGTTGCTTTTTTGAAGGTTTTTTTTTTTTGTGTGTGTGTGTCTGTCTGTCTGTCTCCTTCAGTTCTGGTTTTCAGTGTTCTTTATGACTGATGAATATAGGGTTTTCCCCTTTTCTTTCCGATTGAAGAGCTACCTTTAATATTTCTTGTAGAGTAGGTCTGGTATTCATGAAATCCCTCAACTTTTGTTTGCCTGGGAAAGTCCTTATTTCTCCTTCATGTTTGGAGGATATTTTTGCTGGAAATACTATTCTAGGGTGAAAGTTTTTATCCTTCAGCACTTTAAATGTGTCATGCACTTTATGTCATATGTCTTTCCTGGCCTGTAAGGTTTTCAGTGAAAAATCTGGTGCCAGATGCATTAGAACTCTATTGTATGTCATTTGTTTCTTTTTTCTTGGTGCTTGTAGGATCCTTTCTTTATCGTTGACCTTTGGGAGTTTAATTATTACATTCCTTCAGATAGTCTTCCTTAGGTTAAATCTGCTTGGCGTTCTTAATCTTCTTGTACTTGAATATTGATACCTTTCTCTAGGTTTGGGATGTTCTCTGTTATTATCCCTTTGAATAAACTTTCTACCCTGCTCTCTCTACCTCCTCTTTAAGGCCAGTAACTCTTAGATTTGCTCTTTCAAGGCTACGTTTTTGATCTTGTAGATGTGTTTTGTTATTTTGTTCTTTTGTCTTTTCTGTGTATTTTCAAATAGTCTGTCTTCAAGGTTAGTAATTCTTTCTACTACTTGATCACTTCTACTATTGAGACTCTAATGCATTCTTCTGTATGTCAGTTGCATTTTTGAACTCCAGAATTTCTACTTGATTCTTTTATTTCAATATCTTTTTTAAATTTATCTGATAGGATTCTTTATTCCTTCTCTGTGTTATCTTGAATTTCTTTGAGTTTCCTTAATACAGCTATTTTGAATTCTCCATCTGAAAGGTCACATATCTTTGTTTCTCCAGGATTGGTCCCTTGTGCTTTATTTAGTTTGGTGGGCCGTGTTTCCGTGCATGGTCTTGATGCTTGTGGATGTTTTTCAGTGTCTGGGTATTGAAGAATTATTTGTTGTAGTGTTTGCATTCTGGACTTGTTTGTATCCTGTCCTTGGGAAGCCTTTCCTGATATTTGAAGGGATTTGGGTATCATCTACATTTTTGGTCACCGCAGCCGTATTTGCATTAAGGGGTAATGCAAGCCCAGTAACGCTGTGGTTCTTGCAGAGTCACAGAGCTACATCCTTGGTGGTCTTGGATAAGATCTGGGAGAATTCTCTGGATTACAAGGTAGAGTCTCCTGTTCTCTTCTCTGACTTTCCCCCAATCAAGTGGAGTCTCTCTGCTGAGCTGCCTGGAGCTGGGGGAGGGGTGACACAAATAACCCTTTGACTGCCACCAGTAGGAGTGTGCTGAGTCAGATCTGAAGCCAGCACAGGCGCTCGGTCTCATCTGAGGCCCACTGTAACCACTATCTGGCTACTGACTATGTTAGGGCTCTATAATCAGCAGGTGATGAAGCCAGCCAGGCTTGTGTCCTTGCCTTCAGGGTGGCCCTGGATACGGGGTGGGTCCAAAGATGCCATCCAGGAGCCAGGACCAGGAGTTGGAAACCTAGAAATCTACCTGATGCTTTATTCTACTGTGGCTGAGCTGGCACCTATACCACAAGACAAAATCCTTACCACTCTTCCTTTTCCCCAGGCAGAAGAGTCTCTCCCCATGTCAACTACCACCGTAAGCCCATGAGAGTGCTGCTAGACTCTTACCAATCTAACTACTACTGTCAATGTTTACTTAATGCCCAAGGCCTCTTTATTCAGCTTGTGAATAGTGCCAGGCCTGCAACTCACCCTTCAGGGCAGTGGGCTCCCCTTTGGCCCAGGGTAGGTCTAGAAATGGCATCTAGGAGCCAAAGCCTGGAATTGGGGACCCCAAAAGCCCTCTTGGTCCTCTACCCCACTGGCCAAGCCGGTACCTCAGCTGCAAGACAACATCCCCTTTACCTGTTTTTCTGCTTTTTTGAAGCAGAGGAAGTCTCTCTTTGTAGCCATCAGAGCAGCGAATATGCTAGACACATCTGAGGCCAGCATATCTCAGAGTCTTACCCAAGACCTACTGTGTGACTACCTGGTTACTGCTGCTGTTTTATTCAGAGTCCAAGGTCTCTTTAGTCAGCAGATGATGAATCTGCCAGGATGGGTCCTTCCTTTAAAGGCAGTGGGTTTCCTTCTGGCCCAGGGTGTGTCTAGAAGTGTTGTCTGGGAGCTAGGATCTGGAGTGAGGGCCTCATTACTCTGCCCAGTTCCCTGTCTTCCTGTCCCTAAGATGGTATCGCGCAAGTTGAAAGACAAAGTTATCTTTACTTTCCCCTCTCCTCTCATCAAGCAGATGGAAAGGGTCTCTTTTGGACCTGCAAGCTGTGCTGCCTGGGACTTGGAGAGGGGTTTCACAAGCCTTCCCTTAGCTGCCCTGGCTGATGTCTCACTAATTCACATGCCCTCCAAGTCTACTGGCTTTGAGCCCCAGCACAGTAGTAGGACTTGCCTAGGCGTTACAGTCCTTGTGGCCTAGACTGCCTTTCAAGTTTACTTAAGACCTTTCAAGTTTATTTAAGAACTCAGAGCACTTTAACCTGTGGTGTCAAGGATTGCTGAAACTCAGGTTTGGACTACTGGGATGAGCGGTTGCCTTCTGGCCTGGACATGTGTAAATGCCCCCTTTCTGGGCATCAGCTAAGTTCTTCCTGGTGTTGGCAGCACTGAGTTTCAGTGCAAATTCTCACAATTGCTGTGTTGTCCCTCCCTCAAGCCATGTGCTTTCCTTTGCCATGTGGCCACTTCTGGGGGCTGGAGAAGGGGTATTGGCAATTTCAGGATTGCCTTTGCTACCCTCTTCCATGCCTCTTTAAGCAATATGAACTTAAAATCATGTACTGTGATCAGTCACCTGGTTTTTGGTTCTTAAATGAAGGTTTTTTTTTTTTTGTTTAGATGGTTGTTAAATTTGGTGTTCCTGTGGGGAGGATGATCAGAGGCTTCTATTTGGCTATCTTGTTCCTCCTCTCTCTCTCTTTATGATTCTTTTGTTTACTTTTTTTTTTGCTGTTTGCTTGGCTATCGTTTCAGTTATCTCTGTAGGGAACAGGTATTTTTCTTGCCCATGCCTGTCACCTGGCTCTTGTCCTCTTTGGGGCTGGTCACTTGGGTGATGATGGCCAGGCCGTCTGTGGGTATGTGGGATGCCAGCTATTGACCTCTGAAATCTTTTTTTTTTTTTTTTTTAGACAGAGTCCTGCTCTGTCGCCCAGGCTGGAATATAGTGGTGTGATCTTGGTTCACTGCAACCTCCGCCTCCCGGGTTCAAATGAATTCTCCTGCCTCAGCCTCTGGAGTAGCTGGGATTACAGGCACACACCACCATGCCCGGCTAATTTTTTTGTACTTTTAGTAGAGATGTGATTTTACCACGTTGACCAGGCTGGTCTCGAACTCCTGACCTCAGGTGATCTGCCCACCTCAGCCTCCCAAAGTACTAGGATTATAGGTGTGAGCCACTGTGCCTGGCTACCTCTGAAATCTTAAGAATCAAATATGTCACTTACTCACCAGTGTCAACTTCTTTCATTTAGTCAGTCACACTGTCCCTGCTTCTTGGCATTTCAATCTCTTGACTCTACTTTCTTTCTATATGTTGTCCCTCTTCTGTTGTTAGTTACTTTCTGATGCAGTTTAGAGTCAGTCTAGCTTAGATACATAGCCTGGTCCATCAGTCGCTTCATGCAGTATCCTTAACTCCATACCTTCCATTCTACTCATCTGTCAAAATCCAAATCTGGGATCAGTAGTGCTGTTTGCTTTTTTTAGGTTCATATTCTGAAAACTGAATATTGGTGGAAAAGATCCCACAACTGAAAGTTCATTGTGTTCAGCCTCAGTAATGTCCAGCAGTTCCCCAGGAACTTCTCTTCCCTTCTCCGTGGCAACTGTGTCAGAATTTCCCCCGTCTTCTAGAACCTCTGTTATTTACTCCCTGTCATGCTACCTTTGTCATTTACTCTCAGGATCTCCTGTTTTATTTAAAAGCCATTATATGGCTTTTAATTCTTGTTACCAAATCTACAAATGTAACTGCGTATTCATTCTTCTATGCATCCTGTGTAGTATTGGGAAACAGATAGCTCTATAATTTATAACTGTTTCTTCCATTTAGATTCTGGATCCTAACAACTCCTATCTTGTATAAGATATTATTCACCCAATTATTTCTGTTTTTCTACTTCTTTCCCTCTTGCCTCCTTTTCTCCTATATCACTGTTTAAATGTCATCAGGTTTTTAACCAAAAACCTTAACTTATTGTCCCCCTCCAGTTACTGTGTTAGCTCTCCTTTTATTTAGAAAGAGAATTATCGGCCGGGCGCGGTGGCTCACGCCTGTAATCCCAGCACTTTGGAAGGCTGAGGCGGGCGGATCACAAGGTCAGGAGATCGAGACCATGGTGAAACCCCGTCTCTACTAAAAATAGAAAAAATTAGCCGGGTGCAGTGGCGGGCGCCTGTAGTCCCAGCTACTCGGGAGGCTAAGGCCAGAGAATGGCGTGAACCCGGGAGGCGGAGCTTGCAGTGAGCCGAGATTGCGCCACTGCACTCCAGCCTGGGCGACAGAGCGAGACTCCGTCTCAAAAAAAAAAAAAAAAAAAAAGAAAGAGAATTATCTACATTTACCAATCCTGCTTCCTCACCTCCATGTCACTCCTCAATCTGTTGTAGCCCTTTGCCATTCTAAAATTGTTTTTACCTAATCAGTGCCTCTTTTATCGTGAAAACGAATGGGCACCTCTCAATCTTTATTTTACAAACATTTGGTCATGTTGTCCACTTCATTTCTCTAGAGTTTTTTGTTTGTTTGTTTGTTTGTTTTTGACCTTGCCAGTTTTTGTGACTTGACCCTTGGTTTTCTTTCCAACTCTTCTAATTGCTTGATTCCTTTATAAATTTCTTTTCCTCTGCCTAGTTTTTAAATATCTTATGCTCATTTTTTTTTTAACTCTGTAGATTCTCCCTGGGTCGTGTCATTTATTCCTATGGTTTCAGTGATATTTATGTTGATAATTTCTAAATCTTTATCCTTATCCCATATTCTCTCCAGAGATTGAGACTACCCAATATTTAGGTGCTTGTGGAACATTTCTGTATAGCATGTTTTAAAATACCTGGAACTTAACATGTCCAAAGAGAACTGATTTTTCATCTTTCTCTTCTGCTTACTTTATTTATGTATTTATTTATTTAGACGTAGTCTTGCTGTGTTGCCCAGCCAGAGTGCAGTGGCGTGATCTCGGCTTACTGCAGCCTCCACCTTCCAGGTTCAAGTGATTCTCCTGCCTCAGCTTCCGTAGTAGCTGGGATTACAGGCATGCGCCACCATGCCCAGCTAATTTTTATTTTTATTTTTATTTTTAGTAGAGGTGGGGTTTCACCATGTTGGCCAGGCTGGTCTCAAACTCCTGACCTCAAGTGATCTGCCTGCCTTGGCCTCCCAGAGTGTTAGGATTACAGGTATGAGTTACTGTACCTGGCCCCTTCTGCTCACATCTAATCAACTACTTAATCCTCTTAATTTTTCCTCCCAGTGTCTCTCAAAATAATTCACTTTTTAAGATCTCTAAGTCTCTTTCCTAGTTTAGACCATCACTGACTCTCATAGATTACTGCAGTAGTTTTCTAACTAGCCTGTGTGTTTCCGGTCTAGGCCATTCTCCATATTTCAGCCAGAGTGGTCTTCCTATTATTTAATCTAATGATATCCTCCTGACAACTCTTGAGAATTCTTTAAAATCTTCTTAAATCTTTTCATTGTCTCATAGGTATTACTCTTGATGGTAGATAACAGAAACTCAGCTCACGCTAGGTTTAACAAAGGGCAAGCCTTGGAAGGTTTTGTAAGTGCAGAAATAACTGGAGTGTAGCTGGGCCCCAGAAACACATGGAAGCAGGATTTGGAATACTGCTAATACTTTCTTCCCCTTCCTTTTTCTCCTCCTCTCTGAATTCTGGCATCATTCTCTTCTCACTCCTCTTTCCTTTAAGTGACAAAGCATATGGCTGTCAGTTTTATTACAGCTTCACATTTCTAATATCATGAGATGAGTGAGACTGGTTGGACCCCAGTTCATGCAATTTACTCTGTTTAAAATGTCTGTTACCTACCAGGTTGTTTCAGATGGTGTCCATCCCTGAACCAGTCAGCTGTAGGTAGGGAAGAAGATGCTGTGATTGGCCTATTTTGTTGTTGTTGTCATTTTGTCTATTCTTAATCCGGTCTTGGGTGAGGGAGATAGAATCTTTTTTTTTTTTTCGAGACGGAGTCTCGCTCTGTCGCCTGGGCTGAAGTGCAGTGGCACGATCTCAGCTCACTGTAAGCTCCGCTTCCCGGGTTCCCGCCATTCTCCTGCCTCAGCCTCCCGAATAGCTGGGACTACAGGCGCCGCCACCACGCCCGGCTAGTTTTTTGTATTTTTTTTTTTTTTTTTTAGTAGAGACGGGGTTTCACCGTGTTAGCCAGGATGGTCTTGATCTCCTGACCTCGTGATCCGCCCATCTCGGCTTCCCAAAGTGCTGGGATTACAGGCCTGAGCCACCGCGCCCGGCCTAGAATCTTAAGGAGATAAAAGCTCTTGTTCCCATTTAAACTTCATGAATAGAGAGTGTAAAGAAAGAACACTTTGCAGAAGAGATGGTAGTCTCTACTGAAGCTACAAATTATTAGATCCCTACAGTGCATTTTCTTGTAAGATAATACGGGCAGTCCCTGCTTTGTCTGGTAATGAGGGTCTGTAAAAGTGATTGTGCAAGCAGAAACTGTGCAAAATGGTTTTAATCAATGGGAAAATTATGATTGAGTTTTAAAAAATTTTGTCAAAACATTGAGAACTCTCATTGTCAGTTGTAATAGTATAGAGAAATTAAAAAATAGTAAAGTGAGTAGTACACTGTAATTTTAAACATTAGAAACATTGAAAATTAAAATGTTTTATTTCTTTGTAAAAAATATATTAAGAGTAACTTAAACAGTGTTTGTCCTCTTCTCATCTGATAACATGGGATATGGAGCGGATATCTTTTTCATGCATATGTGAATTACCATACTCCTAAGTTTGGATCAACTTTCAGTGTTTTATCCAATGTTGTGAAATCTCCAAGAGTTCCTTTGCTGGTATCACTTCTTCTGGGACATTTTCATCCTTGTGCCACAACCACTCTTCTCATTGATGTCAGTAAGTTCACTACCTTTCTCTGGCTGCATAGAATCTGTGGAACAGCAGCACTGTCATCATTCCCACAGTCAACTATTTCTTCTGTAACTTCATTTACATTTGATTTGAATTTTACTTCTTGCATTATCACTGTTCATTTCTTTGTTTCTCTTTAATATTTGTGGGCCAATGGCCATTTTTGTAAAATGTATTGCAGATTTATTATTGGGAGACAAGGAGGTAACACAACTCCATGGTTTCCTGTCTGTGCATGCCCTGAAGAACACCAATTTGCAGTGAGTGACCTGTCACTGACAGAACCGATGTGATTGGTCACTGATCATGATGCACATCTGTTATTTATATAGTGATTTGTGGACTGATGAGTTAGCAGCAGAGTTTGTACTTTATACAATTACTCATAGTTTAATATATAATACTGGGGTCATTGGCATTTGAACTGTGTTGTGGGGGACTGGTGTTATTTAGTACAATCATGGTATCTGAAATTTTTGCATATCAGAACTGCAATGTGAGGATTGCCTGTATTAAGACACACATTGCCTATTATATAACACTGTATTATTTGGCTTCTGCTTTTGCTTTTAGATTCATCTTAAGGCCTTCTTCCTTGGAACTGTGCTCACACAGACCTAAGCCCATGTGTTTCTCTCAAGTTTGAATTCCCCTGCCTCTTCTCCACATACCTCTATCCTATCCTCTTCTGTTTATTTGCTCCTACTTACCCTTTAAGTTTTTCTGTAGATATTGCTTTCTCTGAAAAAAATTTTTCTGTTCTTTTCAAATTTGTTAATCAGCCTGTGGTATTCCCATATCTTATAAATTTCCTGTTATAATATCACATATGTGATCACATAGTATTGTGCTTATTTTTACTTACATGTCACCATTACTAGACAGTGTTTTCCATGCAGGTAGAGACTATATGCAGTGCAGTTCTTTACTATATTCCCAAGGCACCTCTGTCTAGAACAAAATAGGTAATACTTAGTAAAATTTTGTTGATTTAGTGAAAAATAATCAGAATTTTGGTGGGATATGAATACTACAATATCATCAGAAGGTATTCTGTAAGAATGTAGTATAGACTAGTTAAACATAGGTACCAGTTATGAAATATTGATCATTTATTCTTCCTTATACTTTAAATGAAATATATATTTGATAGCATACATTTTATGATTCTTGTATTTAATACATTACAGAAAATTAATCATAATTGGAAAAATTGCTTCAATCTGATATTGTAGGTGCTTAATGAATGCTTGTTAAATCAGTGACTCAGTAACTTAGAATTATGCATTTTCTTTGGTTCTAATAATTATTTTCATTTATTTTTAAGGTATATTCATGTTTTAATGATCTTCTGGTCATTTGTTGCTGGAGTTGTCACATTCTACTGCTCACTAGGACCTGATTCTCTCTTACCAAATATTTTCTTCACAATAAAATACAAACCCAAGGTAAAATTATGTGTTCTTATTGTTAAGATTCAATGTGATCAATGTGTATGAGCCTAAGCTGTTTATTATTTGAAAGCCTGCTAAAGCAGTGTATTTTTTTAATTTACAAAAATTTTCTTTTAATTTCTTCCCTTTTTTTTTTCCTAGGTACTGTGCTAAAATTAGTGATTTAAAAAAATCCATCTAATTATTTAATAATGGAAGTCCATTAGAAAATTTTCAAAATAAGATTTGTATATGTGTATGCTTTTAAGGCATACAGTTCTCCTAGAGGAGCTATAAAGAGAAATTATTGTACAAAAGTTTCAGAAACTTGGAATCCACAATTTTAGGGTGTCCTCTATTAACCATGAGGACAATAAATTAAATCAGAGGTTCACAAAGCTGGTTTTACAGTAAATCTCCTGGGGAATTAACAGATTCCTGGGGTGTACCACCAGATTTTGATTGAATAGTTCTGGGTTAAAGCCTTGTTATCAGTACTTGTTAGAAGCTTTCCAGCTCATTCTGAGGCACAGACTCAGGAAATTCTGGGTTAAATGATCTAATCCTGTTAAATTCTTAAATGTTTGTGTGCTTCATAGAAACAGAGATATAATTAGGCAGTTTGTATAACCAAAGTAATTTATTTCCGAAATTTAATGAAGGGTGGTAATGTGGTGAATCTCTCTCTGTAAAGCAAGGTTCTGGTCTGTAGATTAGGGTTTAGTGGGATATCTTTTTCTTTTTCTTTCTTTTTTTTTTTTTTTTGAGATGGAGTCTTGCTCTGTCACCCAGGCTGGAGTGCAGTGGTGCCATTTTGGTTCACTGCAACCTCTGCCTTCCAGGTTCAAGTGATTCTCCTGCCTCTCAGCCTTCTGTGTAACTGGGATTACAGGCACATGCCACCACGCCCAGCTAATTTTTGTATTTTTAGTAGAGACGGGGTTTCACCATTTTTGCCAGGCTGGTCTCGAACTCCTGACCTCAGGTGATCCACTTGCCTCGGCCTCCCAAAGTGTTAGGATTACAGGCGTGATCCACTGCACCTGGCCTAGTGGGATATCTTTAAGTCTTAATAATTCTTTAAGTTGATATAGTATCTTGTCTTGGGATACTCAGAGGAAACACAACTGAAAGTGGTGCCCCATATTTGATCAGGAACCGTAGTAGTTACCTCGTACCTTTGGCATTGAATTCAAGATTTTGGAGAAAGAGAAAATAGTTTTTTCGTATTATACCTTTGCAGTAGAGTGTCACTTTCTTTTTTCTTTCTTTTATTGAGACAGGCTAGAGTTGCACAGGCTAGAGTGCAGTGGCAGGATCACAGCTTACTGCAGCCTCAAATTATTGAGCTCAGGAGATCCTCCTGCCTCAGCCTCCTGGGTAGCTGGGACTATAGGCATGTGCCACTACACCTGTCTAATTTTTTTTTGGTAGAGACAGTGTTTTACCATGTTTCCTAGGCTGGCCTCAAACTTCTGGGCTCAAGCCATCCACCTGCCTTGGTCTCCCAGAGTACTAGGATGATAGGTGTGAGCCACTGTGCCTGGCCAAGTTATCACTTTCAAATGTAGACTGAAGCTTTTTAAAGTGATCATAAAAATTGATTTTAACTTTAAACTTGGAAATTTGGGTTAGGTATTATAAGGCATTTCATGTGGTATTTTTTTCTCTGACAGTTTAGTTTAGCCAGTATTATGTATTACAAAGAAAGATTTCACTGTTAAAGTAGACAGAAAATGTTCTTTGAATTTATACATTGATTTTAAAAACTTCTGAAAAGTTGATTCTTTTAAATAAAGATGATATGTAAAGACAGATCTCCCCACCACCTCTCATTTTCCTTTTTTAGCAGTTAGGACTTCAGGAATTATTTCCTCAAGGTCATAGCTGTGCTGTTTGTGGTAAAGTGAAATGTAAACGACATAGGTAAGTTAAATTTTTTTTATTTGTTGATCCTTCTAATTACATTGGATTTCAAGTGATTTAGTTGTATAATTTTTCTTTAGGCCTTCTTTGCTACTTGAAAACTACCAGCCATGGCTAGACCTGAAAATTTCTTCCAAAGTTGATGCATCTCTCTCAGAGGTAACTGATTTACTTAATATTATTAATAGAAAGTGTTAAATGTCTGTGGAAAATTTTTCCAGAATTTTTTATCAAAAAATTTAATTATGGAGCATCTTAATACATGTCACTTAAATCAGTTCTGAGTTAGGTAGTTGATTATTGCAGACTAAACAGCTTGAATAGTAAGTTAGAAATGTTTTTGAATCTCATGTTTAATTTAGACATTTTCAGCTAAGGAAAGCACTGGTTTATCTGAAACAGTCATAAAGATGAAAACAGTCATCTTTATGATAGGGCAGCAGAAATATCATTTTGTAATTCCAAAAGGAACTCTGGACTGCAAGGAGCAAATCAATATATATATCTTACTGAACTATTACCCCAGTTTTGACACTAACCGCAGGGTAGAGAAGGGAATGGGATATTTTTCATTATTTCTGCATAATACAGGAATGGAAAGCATGTTCTCTTATCTTTGTTATAGTCAGATTTTATATGTATCTTTTTGGTAACATGTTTTAGTTGTTTTAGAGACTTGTCTTCTCAGTGGATTTGACAAAACACTCAAGTCCCGGAAGGCAAGGAATGGGGTCTTATTTGTTCCTAGCACCAAGTATCAGGTCACGTATATTGTTGGTAGCTGATCAAAGTGTATTGAATTAAATTGGATGCTAATTAGTTGAAGAATAGCAGTAGGCATCTGAATCCCACTTAATTCTTCTTTCTCCCATTTTGTATCCTGCATAAAAGCCCATTAAAACTTGGCATTTTTTTCTTTGCTTCTCTAAGGCCTTTTTTTTTTTTTTTTGAGATAGAGTCTTGCTCTGTCACCCAGGCCGTAGTGCAGTGGCACTATCTCACCTCACTGCAACCTCTGCCTCCTGGATTCAAGCGATTCTCCTGCCTCAGACTCCCGAGTAGCTGGGACTACAGGCACACACCACCATGCCCAGCTAGTTTTTTTTTTTAATCTTTTTAGTAGAGACGGGGTTTCACTGTGTTAGCCAGGATGTGGTCTTGATCTCCTGACCTCGTGATCCACCCACGTTGGCCTCCCAAAGTGCTGGGATTACAGGCGTGAGCCACCGTGCCCGGCCTCTAAGGCCTTTTTCATCTTGAAGATGCCCTGATTTAAGACTTCTAATATGGTAGCTCCTAGCCACGTGTGGTTATTAATAAACACTTGAAGTGTGCTAGTCCAAGTTGACATGTGTTCTGTGTATAAAATATATAGCGGATTTTGAAGATTTCGTAAGAAAAGACTTAGAAAAAAGGAATGTAAAGTATTTTTTTTTTTTTTGCGACGGAGTCTCACTCTGTTGCCCAGGCTGGAGTGCAGTGGCGTGATCTTGGCTCACTGCAACCTCCACCTCCCGGGTTCAAGCGATTCTCCTGCCTCAGCCTCCCAAGTAGCTGGGACTACAGGTGCACACCACCATGCCCAGCCAATTTTTGTATTTTTAGTAGAGACAGGTTTTTACCATATTGGCCAGGCTGGTCTTGAACTCCTAACCTTGTGATCCACCTGCCTCGACCTCCCAAAGTGCTGGTAGTATAGGAGTGAGCCACTGCGCCTGGCCAAGTATCTCATTTTTTATATTAATTACATGTTGAAATGATAATATTTTGGATGTGTTGGGTTAAATAAAATATAAAATTAGTTTCACCTGTTTCTTTTTACTTTGTAAAAAATGTAACTACTAGAAAATTTAAAATTAATGTGTGACTTACATTATATTTCTGTTGGAGAGTGCCAAGTTGAGGTTTGTTGAAGAAAACTTCTAACAAGAGTATTATTTGTGTCTTTGGCATGTCATTCATTCATAAAAATGAAAGGACTTATATAAAACCTGTGGTCCAGTACCTGGCACATACTGGTGCTCAGTAAATGTTAGCTGTCACATTTAAGAACATATTTTGGTATCTTATAGGTAGGAACTGGGCTAGGCCCTAGTGATTAAAAGTGAAGATGGTCCCTTTCTACCAGGAACTTTAGTCTAGAAGTGGAGGCAGGCATATAAACAGTAATCACAATATAATTTAATGCAGGCAATAATGGAAAAAAAATTAAAGTATATAGATTAGTATAGAGGAGAAGTTCGTAACTATTGAGAGGGACAATGAGATCGGAGAACTAGAGGTTTGCCAGACTAATAGTGTGGGAAAGGGTATTTCAGGATTTGGGTAGAGCTTTCAAAAGGAAAGAGAGGCTTGAAACAAGGTGGAATGTTCAGCAAACTGGAGAGTAAAGTGTGAGGGAGGATATGGGCAATAAGGAAACAATATTCTAGTAGCTAGTATTTATGATATACTTACTGTATATTAGGCATTGTGCTAAGCTCATTATTTCATGTAATCTACATATAACCTATGAAGTGGGTACTATTATTGATAATTTTACCAAAGGTAAATGGAATTTAGAATTTTAATAATTTTCTCAAGTTTCATATTTGGTTGATTACAGAACTCAATAAAAAACTCAGGTCTGGTTAAGTTCTTAATCAGGATTGTATATGGCCCTTTAAAAATAAGACTATCAAATGACTTTAAGGGCTATGTTGATGGAACTTAGATTAATTGATCCTGGAAGTCGATGATTTTCTAGAATTTTTAGATGTGACTCATAGGGTACACTGGGAGTGAAAAGGAAGTGATGCAACTGCTTCATGCCAGCAGGTCCCTTTCAAAATCAGTGCAATTTCACCTTTCTTATATATTGAGGATTTCATGCAAGAGGATGATGTGGTCAAATGTATGTTTTAGGTTACTTTGGCAGCTCTATTTAGGATGGAGGGGAGCGAGCTTGGAAGCAGGGAGTTGAGAGGCCATTGCTGCAATATAAGGGGTAAGAAAATGAGGACCCACTGGGCGCGGTGGCTCACGCCTGTAATCCCAGCACTTTGGGAGGCCGAGGTGGGTGGATCACCTGAGGTCGGGAGTTCGAGACCAGCCTAACCAACATGGAGAAACCCCATCTCTTGTAAAAACACAAAATTATCTGGTCATTGTGGCACATGCCTATCATCCCAGCTACTCGGGAGGCTGAGGCAGGATAATCGCTTGAACCCTGGAAGCGGAGGTTGAGGTGAGCCGAGATCACGCCATTGCACTCCAGCCTGGGCAACAAGAGTGAAACTCCGTCTCAAAAAAAGAAAAAGAAAAGAAAAACACTACTTAGGATATAAAATCAGTAGGACTTGATTGGTTGGATGTGGGGAATAAAGGAAGAACAAATGTTTAATGATAACTTGTTCTAGTCTCCTCTCTATCCTATTCATTGTTCATTGTTATCCCTGTTTATATGTATTTTCATTTCCCAACACATATAAACAGTGCTTAGTGTTTGTACTAAAACATCTAAATTATTGTTCCCTTAATATTTAAACTAGAAAATTCACAATCTTTATTATTGCTGCCAGAGAAAATATATGATCTGATTTTGGAAGCATTAGATTAGATATGTTGTTTTCTTCCCTCCCTACTGCTTTTGTAAGTTACTGCCCAATGTTGCAACTCCTTGTAAAAATTATGACATACAGCTATACCCAAATCCAAGAAATGGAAGATTTAACACCCACGGTTTGTTTTATTTTGTTTTGTTACTTTTTCACTTACATAACTTATGTACTGATTTGAGTGTACAGGTAAAATTTTCACAAAGCGAACATATCTGTGTAACCAGCATTCAGATCAGGAAACAAAACATTACCAGCATCCCAGAACTCCCCTTTGTGTTCCCCTCTAGCCACTATACTCCCTTCAAAAGTAACCACTAACACCTAATTTTGACCCCTTATGTAAATCTTAGCTGCTTGTTTCTTCATTATATTCTGAAAATACTGAGTTACAAAGTTAGGAATGGAAAGGACTAACTTGCTGTTTTTCTTCTTTCCATAGCACATTTTTGGTTCAGTTAAGCTTCAGAGTCAGCAACAATTTATTTAACTTTTTGTTTGATTATGGAAATATTTAGAAATATGTGCATGCCATTCTAATAGTAACTTTTCCTATTTGTGAAATTTTTATGATTTTCCAAGTGTTTTCTCATATGTTTTCTTTGATCCTCACAATCATATAAGGTTGAAATATACATTTTGTTATGTGAAAATATTATATTACTGTCGTTTTTTTTTGTTTTGTTTTTTTTGTTTTTTGAGGCAGAGCCTCACTCTGTCGCCCAGGCTGATGTGCAGTGGCAACATCTTGGCTCACTGCAACCTCTGCCTCTCAGGCTCAAGCGAAACTCCTGCCTCAGCCCCCCAAATAGCTGGGACTACAGGTACACGCCACTACACCCAGCTTATTGTTGTGTTTTTTGTAGATACAGGGTTTCATCAAGTTACCCAGGCTGGTCTCTAACTCGTGAACTCAAGCCATCCACCTGCTTTGACCTCCTAAAGTGCTGGGATTACAGGTGTGAGCCACTGCTGCCGGCCTGCTGTCTTTATTTGTGATAATAAAATTGGTTCTTGGTAATGTTACATATTACCAAATAGTACCGTTTATTTTCCAAAAACTAATTCGTTTTATTTTTCTTTAAAAAATAATTTTTATGCAGGTTCTCGAATTAGTGTTGGAAAACTTCGTTTATCCGTGGTACAGGTATGTTCTTTTTATAAGATCTTTTTTCTTTGATACAGTGAATACTACTAAGTTAAGCATGTTAATGACATGTTTTTGGTGTAGACTAGGATTTTTCAACTTTGTCATTGTTGACATTTTAGCCAAAATAATTATTTGTTGTGGGGGCAGTACTGTGCATTACATAATTAGCACCCCTGGCCTCTCCCATTAGATACTAGTAGCAGACATCTCTGCCACCAGTTGTGACCAATAAAAATGTCTTCAGAGGTTGCCGGATATGACCTGGAAGGCATAATTGGCCCTAGTTAAGAACCGCTGATGTAGGCATCAGTCAGTTAATAATTTGGTGATAAAGAGGAAGAAAACTTAGTCTGTGTTTTGAAAGAAAAGTAACTTGTAGAATTCCTTATCACTTCTAAATATAGTGATTTAATAATTTTGTATGCAGTTTTCACATTTGAAATAATTATACCTTTTGGAGGGGAATCTGTATTCACATATTTCATTAAATTGAAAGATAGCTTCAGTAGTTTTCCTGGAGAATTAATTGGTTTTTTTCCCCCAAGTACCTTGTTTTTGGTGTATGCCATGTATGTACAAGGGCCTTATGCTTTTGAAGATACAGAAAATCCTTTAGATTTGACAGAAATCTATTTTGAAATTAGAGAGATCCAACTTATATCATGTAATAAATACATATTTTCTTTTTTTTTTTTGAGACAGAGTCTCGCTCTGTCGGTGCAGGCTGGAGTGCAGTGGCCGGATCTCAACTCACTGCAAGCTCCGCCTCGCGGGTTCACGCCATTCTCCTGCCTCAGCCTCCCGAATAGCTGGGACTGCAGGCGCCCGCCACCTCGCCCGGCTAGTTTTTTTTGTATTGTTTTAGTAGAGACGGGGTTTCACCGTGTTAGCCAGGATGGTCTCGATCTCCTGACCTTGTGATCCGCCCGTCTCGGCCTCCCAAAGTGCTGGGATTACAGGCTTGAGACACTGCACCCGGCCATAAATACATATTTTCTTAAATCAGCATCATGTGTTTAATATATATTTGAACACTTGCACCTCCATGGCTTGTACATATGATGTTTAATGACATCTACCCTAGTTTTATATTGATTCAGTCTATTTTGAATTTTCTTTTCTTTTTTTTTTTTGAGATGGAGTCTTGCTCTGTTGCCTAGGCTGGAGTGCAGTGGCGCGATCTCAGCTCACTGCAACCTCCACCTCCCAGGTTAAAGCCATCCTCCCACCTCAGCCTCCCAAGAAGCTGGGATTACAGGTGTGTGCCACTATGCCTGGCTAATTTTGTATTTTTAGTAGAGACGGGGTTTCGCCATGTTGGTCAGGCTGGTCTCAAACTCCTGACCTCAAGTGATCTGCCCACCTCGGCCTCCCAAAGTATTAGGATTATAGGTGTGAGCCGCCATGCCTGACTGAAATTTCTAATTAAAAAAAAAAGCCGGGCTTAGTGGCTCAAGCCTGTAATCCCAGCACTTTGGGAGGCTAAGACAGGCGGATCACGAGGTCAGGAGATCAAGACCATCCTGGCTAACACGGTGGAACCCCGTCTCTACTAAAAAATACACAAAAAAACTAGCCGGGCGAGGTGGTGGGCGCCTGTAGTCCCAGCTACTAGGGAGGCTGAGGCGGGAGAATGGCGTAAACCCGGGAGGCGGAGCTTGCAGTGAGCTGAGATCCCGCCACTGCACTCCAGCCTGGGTGACAGAGCGAGACTCCGTCTGAAAAAAAAAAAAGCTACTAGTTGAATTCACTCAGAGTGTTTAAGACAAATTTAATATCGTTTCTATGCCATATTTTCCTGGAGAGCTATGTAAATTTAAACATTTGATTCTGCCTTAAATATCTGGCATTTGTCATTTAATTAAAGCTGATGGTGAGGCCTTTTGTAAAATGAATCTTTTTTTGAAGACTCCCTTACCTTCTCCCATCTCTGCATTATGACACTTTAGACATAAAATCTAGTTGTATTTCTAAGTGTGAAAGTAAATATTTTCTTCTCAGTTGTAGCTATTGATGCTGTAATATCCCTTTCTTTCTTTTGGGAAGCATGGTTGATACAATTATCTTTCCTATTCTGCCAAGAAAGTTAACAACACCATCATTGAGTTACAGATATCATCATTTCTTTTCTTGCCTTTAATTAGGGAAGTGTTCTAATTCTAGGGCCCTTCAAACATCAGGAAAATGTAACTCCTCAGTTGAAGGTTGTCAGAATTTCTGTTTTACAAAATGTCTGAGTTTCAGTTCATTAAATTTCTTTTTCAAATGGAGCATACCTTTTTTGTTTTAATTTTAGAATTTATATTATTTTATAAGTATTTTAAACTAGTTAAAAATTTTGTATTAATTCTATTGCTTCTCCAAAGTTATTCATTGTTTTATTTCTTTGAACTTTCTTTGATGTTGCTTAGAACATGATCTCAGTATTGTAAAAATAAGACTATGTAGTTGTGTATATCTGCAAGGAAATATATGTTATAATTTAGTTAATAGTGATTATGTCTTGATGCTAGATTCATGGTAGATGTTTTATTTTTTGTACATTTCTTACTGTTCTACAGTGAAATGTATTATTTGTAAATGAAAACAGAAAAGTTGCTTAAGTAAACAGAAAAAAGGAAAAATTTCCCTTGGTTTGTAGAAAGTGAAACTGTATTTCTCTGAACTTCTGAATATTTGTTTTTCTCCTTATTGAAGGGATGTGACAGATGATGAATCCTTTGTTGATGAACTGAGAATAACATTACGGTTTTTTGCATCTGTCTTAATAAGAAGGATTCACAAGGTATATATTTTTGATGAGAAATTTGGGAATTTGGGGCTTTATCATTTAATGAAAGAGATTTAAAACAATTTTTTGTGGGTACATGGCAAGTGTACATGTTTGTGGGCTACATGAGATACTTTGATACAGGCATGTGGTAAGTAATAATCACCTCATGGAAAATGGGGTATCTATCCCTCAAGCATTTATCATTTGTGTTACAAACAATCAAATTATACTCTTTTAGTTACTTTTAAATGTACAATTAAATTATTGACTATAGTCACCCTGCTCTATCAAATACTAGGTCTTACTCTTTCTAAGTGTATCTTTTAGGAGATTATTTCAAACTTTTTTTTTTTTTTCTCTAGACGGAGTTTTGCTCTGTTGCCCAGGCTGGAGTGCAGTGGCATGATTTCGGCTCACTGCAAGCTCTGCCTCCCAGGTTCACGTGATTCTCCTGCCTCAGCCTCCCAAGTAGCTGGGACTACAGGAGCATGCCACCACACCCGGCTAATTTTTTTGTATTTTTAGTAGAGACAGGGTTTCACCATGTTAGCCAGGATGGTCTCGATCTCCTGACATTGTGATCAGCCCACCTCGGCCTCCCAAAGTATTAGGATTACAGGCGTGAGCCACTGCGCCCAGACTTAACCCTTATTTTTACTTTCTCGTATACCATGTATATTTGTTTTGTCTTCATTATTTTAGATTAAAAAATTAGTGAATATTTTTTGATCCATTGATCAGTTTTGCTTTCTTTCATTTTAATGCTTAGTTATTTTGGTTTGTAGAAATTAGAAATGAAAAGACAGCTATAGAAAAAAGTCATGTTCCAGCCATCAGAGAAACGTAAATGAAAACCACAGTGAGATAGCATCTCACACCAGTTAGAATGACGATCATTAAAAAGTCAGGAAACAACAGGTGCTAGAGAGGATGTGGAGAAATAGGAGCACTTTTACACTGTTGGGACTGTAAACTAGTTCAACCATTGTGGAAGACAGTGTGGCGATTTCTCAAGGATCTAGAACTAGAAATACCATTTGACCCAGTGATCCCATTACTGGGCATATACCCAAAGGATTATAAATCATGCTGCTATAAAGACACATGCATACGTATGTTTATTGCGGCACCATTCACAATAGCAAAGACTTGCAAACAACCCAAATGTCCATCAATCATAGACTGGATTAAGAAAATGTGGCACATATACACCATGGAATACTGTGCAGCCATAAAAAAGGATGAGTTCGTGTCCTTTGTAGGGACATGGATGCAGCTGGAAACCATCATTCTCAGCAAACTATCGCAAGAACAGAAAACCAAACACCACATGTTCTCACTCATAGGTGGGAACTGAAGAATGAGAACATTTGGACACAGGGTGGGGAACATCACACACCAGGGCCTGTCATGGGGTGGGGGGAGGGGGGAGGGATAGCATTAGGAGATATACCTAATGTAAATGATGAGTTAACGGTGCAGCACACCAACATGGCACATGTATACATATGTAACAAACCTGCACGTTGTATACATGTACCCTAGAACTTAAGGTATAATAATAATAAAAAAAGAAAAAAAGTCATGTTCCAGTTAGATGAATTTATTGAGTAAATAGCAATGATTGTGGTCTACTTTAAAAAATATTTTTCTCAGCCAGGCGCGGTGGCTCATGCCTGTAATCCCAGCACTTTGGGAGGCCTAGGTGGGTGGACCACTTGAGGTCAGGAGTTCATGACCAGCCTGGCCAACATGGCGAAACTCCGTTTCTACTAAAAACACAAAAAATTAGCCAGGTATGGGGGCGGGCATCTCTAATACCAGCTACTCAGGAGGCTGAGGCAGGAGAATTGCTTTAACCTGGGAGGTGGAGGTTGTAGTGAGCCAAGATCGCGCCATTGCATTCCAGTCTGGGCAACAAGAGCGAAACTCTCTCTCAAACAAAATGAAACAAAATAAAACAAAACAAATATTTTTCTTGAGCTGTATTTTGTGCATATTTGGATCGTTGCCTATATATATTTGTAGTATATTGTCTGTAGACACACTTTTCTACTGCTTTGTCGGTTCAGTATTGACACATTGAACATATTGACAATGTATTAATATACAATATCTCTGCCACTAGTAATAAAGATTAATCTTGTTAAATTATTCTATACCTATTTGAGAAATGAACAATATAGTCAACTGCTAGAGAAAAGATGTGCAAAAAACATATAGTAGTTCGCAAAAAAAAGATACAAAATGGCCAGTAAACACTTGAAAGTATGTTGTCTCACAGCAAATAAATATGTTTTAATGAGATACTATTCTTTTACTTATCAGACTGGGAAAGGTAAAAAAGAGTGTTAATATCTAGTAATGGTGATGTATGGAAAACAAGCTCAAATTCAAATTGATATAATTCTCACATTTGAGGGCAGTTTGGTAATCTTTATTAAGACTTAAAAATATCTATACTCCAGGCCGTGCGCCGTGGCTCACGCCTGTAATACGAGGTGGCTGAGACGGGCGGATCACTGGAGGTCGGGAGTTTGAGATCAGCCAGGCCAACATGGTGAAACCTCATCTCTACTAAAAATACAAAGAAATTAGCCTGGTGTAATCGCGCGCACCTGTAATCCTAGCTACTTGGGAGGCTGAGGCAGGAGAATCACTTGAACCCAGGCGGCGGAGGTTGCAGTGAGCCGAGATCGCACCACTGCACTTCAGCTTGGGCAACGGAACAAGACTCCGTCTCAAAAAAAAAAAAAAAGTATGTTCAAAGATTTATTGCAGTATAATTTATAAGTAAAACTGAAAAGAAAAATTGATGTCTACTAAGATTGTTAGTTGAGTAAATATAATACATCCTAATTATAGAATTCTACACAACCATGAACAATCATTTTGTAGAATAATACTTTTTTTCCAAGGGAAAATATTTATCTTAAATAGTCAAGTAAAGGGAATGCTTATATGCTGCTGGTGGGAATGCAAATGAGTTCAGCCACTGTGGAAAGCAGTTTGGAGATTTCTAAAAGAACTTAGAACAGAATCCAGAGGAATATAAATTGTAGACATGGAATCAACCTAGATACAACCTAGATACCCATCAGTAGTGGACTAGATAAAGAAAATGTGGTACATATACTCCATGGAATACTACACAGCCATAAAAAGCAATGAAGTCATGTTCCTTGCAGCAACATAGATGCAGCTGGTCCTAGGTGAATTAACATAGGAACATAAAATCAAATATTGCATGTTCTCATTTATAAGTAGGAGCTAAACATTGGGTACACATGGACATAAAGAAGGGAGCAATAGACGTGGTGACCTACTTGAGGGTGGAGAGTGGGAGGAGGATGAGGATCAAAATACTACTTATGGGTACTGCATTCATTACTTGGATGATGAAATAATTTGTACACCAAACCCCCATGACATGCAATTTACTCATGTAACGAGCCTACACATGTACTCCCTGAACCTAACATAAAAGTTAGAAAGAAAAAGGAAAAAAAAATACAAAAGAAAAAAGAAACAGTCAAGTGAACAGGCTGGAAACTTAGTATGTGTGGTATTTTTCCACTTTGAAAACAAAGTTCATATATTAAAGCTTATTAATCCATATATTAAGGACATATACCTCATCACTGTTAACTCTCAAGTGTGGTGGTGGGCTGATGCTGATTTTTTTTTCCATGCACTTCTTTATATTTGTCTTTTTCTATTGCACGTAGCTTTTATCACTTTTGAAAATAGTTGATAAACAGTAATCATGTTGTTTAACAGTCTTGGATAATTGACTCATAATATTTAAGTGGAATAAAAGAGTAAGAAATATCAATTGGTTGATGGCACACCATTTAAATTATACTTTGGAATAAGTAAAAATTGATTTATCAAAATTAATTTTGATTGCCATATTACAAGTAGCTAATAAACATTAGTTAATAGAACAATTCTGCTATGTTAACCTTTTCTTTTTTTTTTTTTTTTTTTTTTGAGACAGTTTCACTTTATTGCCCAGGCTGGAGTGCAGTGATGTGATCTCGGCTCACTGCAAACTCTGCCTCCCAGGCTCAAGTGATTCTCCTGCCTCAGCCTCCTGAGTAGCTGGGATTACAGGCATGTGCCACTACTGCCTCGCTAATTTTTTTTGTATTTTTAGTAGAGATGGGGTTTCACCATGTTGGCCAGGCTGGTCTCGAACGCCTGACCTCAAATGATTCACCCGCTTCAGCTTCCCAAAGTGCTGGGATTACAGATGTAAGCCACTGTGCCCAGCCTTTTTTTTTTTTTTTTTTTTTTTTTTGGGAGTCTTGCTGTGTCACCCAGTCTGGAGTGCAGTGGCACCATCTCGGCTCACTGCAATCTCCACCTCCCAGGTTCAAGCAATTCTCCTGCCTCAGCCTCCGGAGTAGCTAGGATTACAGGTGCCCGCCACCACACCTGGCTAATTTTTGTATTTTTAGTAGAGACAAGAGTTTCACCATGTTGGCCAGACTTGTCTCGAACTGCTGACTTCAAGTGATTCACCCGCCTCGGTCTCCCAAACTGCTGGGATTACAGGTGTGAGCCACTGTGCCAGGCCTATGTTAGGCTTTGGACTAGCTTAGTGGATTCTAAATTAATAGCACCTAATACTTGGAGTGTTTTATAGGTATATATGTATGTATTTTGTTAATAGTTTTATTGAGATATAATTTACATACCATGTAATTCACCCATTTAAAGTATATGATTTGATAGTTTTTAGCATATTCAGTTGTACAACCATCCCCATAGTCAATTTTAGAACATTTTCATCACCCAGAAAGAGACCTTGTACCCTCTAGCCATAAACATCACCTCTTCTATCCCTTCATCCATAGCCAACCACAAATCTTCGTATATCTGTGGATTTGTATGTCTATTCTGAACATTTCATATACATGGAATCATACAATATGTGGCCTTTTGTGACTGGTTTCTTTTACTCAGCATAATGTTCTCAAGGTTTATCCATGTTATGTTATAGTATGTATCAATATTTCACTCTTTTTATGGCTAATATTCCATTGTGTGAATGTACTACATTTTGTTTATCCATTCATCCATTCATCAAAGGTTGATGGACCTTTGTATTGTTTCTACCTTTTGTCTGTTATGTACCTATTAGCATTTGTGTACAAGTGTTCTTTTTGTTGTTGGATATATATTTTCACTTATCTTGGGTATATACATAGGAGTACAATTGCTGGATCAAATGGTAACTCTGTGTCTAACAATTTGAGTAACTGCCAGACTATTTTCCAAAGTGGCTCCACCATTTACATTCCCATCAGCAGTATATGAGGATCTCAATTTCTCTACATCCTTGCCAGAACTAGTTATAATCTCACTCTTTTATTCTAACCATCCTAGTAGATGTGACATGATATTCCATGGTGGTTTTGAATTGCATATCCCTGATGCCAATAATGTTGAGAACTTTTATGTTTATTTGCCATTTGTCTGCCTCTGAAGAAATGTCCGTTCAGATTCCTTACCTGCATTTTAACTGGGTTATTTTTTTATGACTGAGTTGTAAAAGTTATTTATGTGGATACATGTCCTTTATCAGATAAATGACTCACAAAATATTTTCTTTGATTTTCTGAATTATATGATGGCTCCTATTTTATCTGCATCACTATCCTGGAAGATAAATGGGTTATTATTATATTCATTTTATAGAAAGGTATTAACTTTGTTAAAGTGTTAGCAGATGTTAGCAGATGTTAAAGGGCAAAAGATTAGGCCTTGGTCATCTTACACCTTCTACAATGTTCTGTTCATGATTCTGTTGCCTGCATAATGTAAATTGGAAGTTTGGGAATAATGAAAACAAAGAATCATTTAGGGTCTACAATTTTTTAAAAATCAAAGTTTAGTGACAGACCCATTATTTTACCATTTTAATTCTGACCTGAATTCCCTAAAGTGGAACTTACAAATAAAAATCTTACTGAGTATTCTCAGAAGACAAGATTTTACAAAATGTTTGAAAACTATAACATCTTGTTTATTTGATAAATATGAGAGTAATTTATAAGCGAGTACCAAGTGGCCAAGGGCAAATGAAGGAGTGATGTTATTTTCGACAAGGTGTAATACTAGCAAGAATATCCCTTCTTACTGAATGTGTTTGATCTGGGTTTTATCAGCAAATCATTAAAATTTGAGGGTTTATGATCCATCATACTTACTAGATTAATCACCCTGGGATTTTGTTCCCTTCTTTAATATGGAGTTTAAAAAGAATTGAAAAATTAACACTATTGTGATGGAATTTTCTCATGCCTTTGATAAAGGAAATATATAATGTATTAAGTTTTATGGTGGAAAACAGGCCTATTGAAGTCCAATAAATATGCTTTTTGTTGATTTATTTATAATTTATTTTTAGTTATTGTTTTTCCTGTTTTCCGTGTGTGCATATAAGCCCTCAGCCCTCCCTCACTAACCTATCATGATCACTGCAGCTTCTAGCCTTTAGGTTGAAAAATCTTGATGGGGAATGATGAAACTTAATTTTATTCTAAAATAGGATGTTTCCATATATCTTGAAGCCAGGATTCCTGCTGGGCATGGTGACTAATGCCTTTAATCCCAGCACTTTGGGAGGCTGTTGGGAGGCTGAGGTGGATGGATTACTTGAGTCCAAGAGTCGGAGACCAGCCTGGGCAACATGGCGAAACCCCGTCCCTACTAAAAAATACAAAAAATTAGCTGGGCATGGTGGCATGCGCCTGTATTCCCAGCTACCTCGGAGGCTGAGGTGGGAGAATCACCTGAGCCTGGGAGACTAGACTGCAGTGAGATGGTGCCACTGCTCTCCAGCCTGGGCAGCCGGTGTAAGACCCTGTCTCAAAAAAACAACAAAAACCCAAAAAACAAACCAGGATTTATCTTGTAAGCTGAATGAGAAAGTTCATTTTCAAGTAATTTCTTACTAATCACAAATTTACAACATCAAAGGAATAATAAGTTACTTAAGTTACTGGAGTTTTCCTTGAATGCATTTAATACGAAGAACATGTAAAGAAGCTAGGAATAAAGATACTATTTTGTGGGAAAGATTTAGTATTTAAGGTATACATATTAAGATTAATTTTCAGTACTGTGGGTAAAAAAAATTATCTAATGTTACAGTTTAGTATGATGCAGGAATATAAAGTGTTATTTTTGAAAGATTCTGAATACTTCTAATTTTTAAGATATATTCCAATATCATAATTGTAGTGTACTTGCCATTGTAACTTAGTGATAATTATTTTAAAAGTTTTAATGTTGAATTTTTTAGGTGGATATTCCATCTATTATAACCAAGAAACTATTAAAAGCAGCAATGAAGCATATAGAAGTGATAGTTAAAGCCAGACAGAAAGGTAATACAGTTTTCTACTATAGTTTGAGTGATTTTGTTTTTATACACCAATTTTCACCTGAAATATCTAAATATGAGTACTGATTCATTAACTTATATATTCACAGTTGATGTGAGAGTATTCTTTTAAACTGAAATCTCTTTCAGTAGTTTGTTAATACTGTGTGAAAACTTGAGAACCTTTAAAAATTAAAATAAAAGTTAACTTTACCGCTGACACTCGTAGTCAGTTTTGAATGATAATCTGTTTCTCTGAAGTAGCATTCATTTCTCTTCACCCTTTCTCCTTAATGATTTCGATGGTTTTGATCTATTCTAGCCCATCCTTTTTATTGCTGCTAGGTTACTTTTATGATATGACAAGTCTCATATTGTCTTTCTGCTAAAAAAAATTCAGTGACTGTCATAGCATCTAAACTGTGTATTTAAATCCTTTTCTGTCTAGTCAGATATTAGATCTAGTCTTGTCTTTCACTATATTATGCTTTAGCCATGATGACCTGTTTGCTGCTTCTCATGTATGTTCTGTCCTTTTTACTATCATGATTTGCACATAGCGTATGTTCATTAAATGTTTTCCCTTCCTTCTTTCCTTTCCTTCTTTCCTTACCATATCCTGCAAGATTTTTTCTGAGTGAATGAGTGGAATCCTCATTTGAGACTTTTCATGCTCTAAGATCAAGCTCTAAAATGTTTCTTTTTAACAAAACTACTTCTATGCACTATACTTAGTTTGTGAAACTGAGATTTTCCTTGTATTTGCATTTGGTATTCTTTTTTGTCAATGGTTTCTGAAGTATCTTCTGCAGAATACCACTCCACACACATGACCATATGACCAGAAGAGGTTTCATGGTCATATTTTTTGTTAATTACTATTGTATTCCCCTTGTAGAAATTCCCATAGGTAGGAGCACACCAAAAGCTTTGGGTAGTCCCGCAGCAGTGAAATAGCTTTAACCTTAACATAGCACGTTCCAAATTCATTTGAGCCTGGAACCACTTTTCTCCCCCACATAGTATCAATTATTTTAATCAAAAAACATTTTGGGCAATTATGCTATAGGTAGATTTGAAGTTAAATGAAATTATTAGTTTATTTGCCCTTTGATATGAGTATTTCCTCAGATATCAGAATTGTTTTAAATTATATATTTAAAAATTATTCTGTGTTCATCTTACAACAAGTAAAAATAATTTTACCTTCAACATAGTTTAAAAAAAAGATGAGGCTGGGTGTGGTGGGCTCATGCCTGTAATCCCAGCACTTTAGGAGACTAAGGTGGGCAGCTCACTTGAGATCAGATAGAGTTCAAGACCAGCCTGGCCAACATGGTGAAACCCATGTCTACTAAAAATACAAAAATTAGCCAGGTGTGGCAGTGCTACACAGGAGGCTGAGGCAGGAGAATGGCTTGAACCCAGGAGGCGGAGGTTGTGGTGGGCAGAGATTGTGCCATTGCACTCCAGCCTGGTAGATAGAGCGAGACTCTATTTAAAAAAAAAAAAAAAAAAAAAAAAGAATGTGAAAGAGTTTGAGTACACATAACTTTCTTTTTCTTTTTAAATTGGAAAAAATTTTTCTTTTAGAGATGAGGTCTTACTATGTTGCTCAGGCTGGTCTCAACCTCTTGGGCACAAGCAGTCTGCCTGCCTCGGCCTCCCAAAGTGCTGTGATTCCAGGTGCGAGCCACTGTGCCTGGCGAAGTACATATAACTTAATTGTCGTGTTGTAAAGGCTACTTTACTGTCAGAAGAATGTATAGGAAAAGTATTTTTCTTTAAATCAGTAGATACTATGTTTTAGAGCAATTTTACATTTACAGAAGAATTATTGAGCAGAAAGTACAGTGAGTTCTCATATACTCTCATTTTTTCCTAGCATTGAAATCTTACATTACTTAATACATTTATTATAATCAGTGTACCAATATTGATACATCATTATTAACTAAAGTCTGTAGTTTAGGTTTTTGGTGTTTTTTGTTTGTTTATTTGTTTGTTTGTTTTTGAGACAGAGTTTTGCTCTAGTTGCCCAGTCTGGAGTCCCATGGCACGATCTCGGCTCACTGCAACCTCTGCTTCCTGGGTTCAAGTGAGTCTCCTGCCTCAGCCTCCCAAGTAGCGGGGATTACAGGCCTGCACCACCACACTTGGCTAATTTTGTTATTTTTAGTAGAGACGAAGTTTCACCATGTTGACCAGGCTGGTCTCGAACTCCTGACCTCAGCTGATCCACCCGCCTTGGCCTCCCAAAATGCTGAGATTACAGGCATGAGCACCATGCCTGGCCGCATTAGGTTTTACTCTTTACGTTATGCATTCTATGGATTTTGACAAATGTATAATCATGTATTCATCATTACAGTAGCATACTGAATAATTTCCCTGCCCTAAAAATCCCCTGTGCTTTCTCTGTTCATCCTTCTTTCCTCTGAGAATCCCTGGCAACCACTGATATTTTTACTGTCTCTACAGTTTTGACGTTTCCAGAATGTTATATAGTTGGAATCATACAATATGTTTGAGATGGATTTCTTTCAGTTAGCAATATACATTTAACCTTTATCTTTTCATGGCTTGATAACCCATTTATTTTTACTACTCAACTATATTCCATTGTATGGATATACCACACTTCGTTTATCCATTCACCAATTGAAGGGCATCTTGGTCCAATTTTTGGCAATTATAAATAATGCCGTTATAAGCATTTGTAGGTTTTTGTATGGAACAATTATTTTTAATACAGTTTTAATTTTGTTCTAAAGACAAAGACAAGAAGCCTCTCAGACTATGAGTAAATGGGGTCATCTTTAAACTTTTAGTAGAATTGATGAGTTCAGTAAAATCCCCAAATTAGTTTGTCTCTATGAGAGTGACGTTATATATATATGTCACATTGGTAATCCCAGCACTTTGGAAGGCTGAAGCTGAAGGATCACTTGAGCCCAGGAGTTTGAGACAAGCCTGGGCAACATAGTGAGACCCTGTCTCTACAAAAAAATAAAAAAATTTGCTGAGTGTGGTGGCATGTGCCTGTAAGTCCTAGCTACTTGGGAAACCGAAGCAGGAGGATTTCTAGAGCCCAGGAGTTTGAGACTGCAGTGAGCTGTGATCACCCAATTACACTCCAGCCTGGGCAACAGAGCAAGACCCTGTCTGAAAAAAAGAAGAAAAAAAAAGGAGAGTGATACATAATATAAACTAATTTGACTAAAATTTATCATTGAATTTTTGTGAGAGGAGTTGCTAATTTACTACTATGCAAAAAATCATCCTCAATTATAAAGTCACCCTAAAATGTTAGATTGTAATCATCATATTATGAGTCCATAGAAGTAAAGGCTCAGAATTAGGAGGGCCCTTGTTTTATTCCAAGATCCCAGTGTTCTAAATATTATGATAGTAAATTAGATAGACTTGTAAAAAAAGGTTTTCAAATTTTTGATTTTTCATTTCTTTTAATGTATAAATTTGTTTTCTGAGTTCTTTGGCTCTACATGTGAACATAAATCAGGAAGTAAAGTTTCATTTCTTCATCCATAGTTGTCTTCTCTGTCTTGGCATTCTCTGCTCAATCTTCTTCTTGAGAATAGGCATTATATAGAATTTGTCTATGTAAGTACTTCCATGGCTCTTAGAAATGTTGAATATATATATATGTGTGTATATACACATATATGTATGTATGCAATATATGAATATATGTGTATATTCAACATTTATATACATATATATATATATAATGTAAATTGGATAATGATTGTGTGGGACTTTACTCCAGACTTTCAACCTGAAGATACCTCTTTATCATGGATTTTGTGGACCTTTCCTTTTGTGGTCTGAAAACTGCCAACTGATTAGGCATTAAATATACTGGTGATCAGTGGAAATTAATCCGTGCTTTGTATTCTAGCATCTCTGTTTTGCTTATATTCCCAGTTACGGTGTTTTCCCCCACTTTAAAATATTTTGCCTGATTCCTTTAATTTCTTATCACCTAGGATTATAAAAGTCCCTTATGTCTGACCATAGTAGATTCCAATCTGGTGATTTAATTTATATATTATGTATGAATGCTTAATCACACTAAATATTATAATTACTTACCTATATTATATTATGACTTTTCAGTGTTAATAACTGTTTACTGATACAGATTCTTTTTTGTTTTTTGAGAAGGAGTCTTGCTCTGTTGCCCAGGCTGGGGTGCAGTGGCACAATCTCGGCTCACTGCAAGCTCTGCCTCCAGGGTTCACGCCATTCTCCTGCCTCACCCTCCTGAGTAGCTGGGACTACAGGTGCCTGCCATCAAACTCGGCTAATTTTTTCTGTATTTTTTTTAGCAGAGATGGGGTTTCACCATGTTAGCCAGGATGGTCTCGATCTCCTGACCTTGTGATCTGCCCACCTTGGCTTCCCAAAGTGCTGGGATTACAGACGTGGCCACCATGCCTGGCCTGATACAGATTCTAAGGCTCAAAGGGATTGTTTCATTTGTTTAAAATCTTATCAATAAAGAAGTAGAACTGGGACTTAGCACAGCTTACTGTGCTAAGATACTGTGCAGAGTTCTGACTTTTATGTTCATGATATAAATTTCTAAAAGACCCATGCCCCAAATTCTAATGAAAAACAGCTTGGCAAATAATTTAAAATGCATTTCTTATAAAAACTATGTCCTTTGCTAATCCCGCTTTAGACCCACAAGTCCAGATAGCCTTGATTTACCTTTTTAGTACTGTTGCCAAGCTGAACTCGGGTCTGCTTTCCCAGTGTGCAGAAAAAAAGCAAGCACTGACACTGGGATTTTCAGCAAGGGAATGTGAGGCATTTATTGCTAACAGGGAGAACAAGGAGCTACTGCTTACGACCTGAATTCCCCAGTGGCATACAAGCAAGGGTTTTTAGACTTGGGGTAAATCTCAAGAAGCAAAAGTTACATGTAAAATTGTAAGTCAGTACATGAAGGTTATACATGGGTTGACTCAGAAAGCTGGGATATCTTGAAGTGGGGGCTTACAAGTGATAGGTGGATTCAGAGTCTTTGGTTTGCAGTTGGTTAAGAAAGCAAGGCTTTGTCTAAAAACCTGGGGTTAGCAGAAAGGAATGTTAGGGCTTGATCTGTGGGTGTAACTCTCTCCAGGCCCCTCAGGAAGAAATTTAGAACAAAGAACAGTGGTTAGAGTTCAGTCCTCAGTTCCCCCTTGTCTGAGGTCTCCATGACAGTGGTTGACATGTTCTATCTAGTGGGTGTCCAGGTTTCTGAAAAATAATTCAAGGACCTATGTTACAATTTTATCTTTAGTTTCTGTAGGGAACCAAACATCTTGGGACTCTGGCTTACTTGGGTGGCTGTTGTTTATGTTATTATTTTCTTGTTTAGCAAGTTATTCACTCACTTTCCTAATTGCTGGTTGTAGGGCTAGCTTAGGTGCCTGCAATTTCCCTTGGGACTCAAAAGTTTTTTCTTTATTTTTATGCTGAGGGTCCTGGCAGGCCCCTAAGAAGGATTGCTGCTCCATCTCAGTACTCACACTGTTGGAATGCATATAATGCCTTTTTTTGTGTGTATGAATATGCTTGCATTCTATTTCAATAAACACAGAAGGAAATAGTTCTAAAATAAATGCCATTGAATTAGGGTTAAGATTCCCAACACAGACTCCATGATTTGAAAAAACTGCACCGAGTGCAGAAAGGGAAAAGCATCACTTGCCTTTCCACTTAGTCTTTTGAGGTCTATAGAAGGAACAATACTATTAATTTTACATTTGAAAATACTAGTTATTGCCAGGTCTAAAAAAAAAACTTTGCTAACATAACTTTTATTATCAGTTAGTATTTATTAAGAAATCTATCCTTTCATGGGTTTCTACTTTAAATAGTATTATATTTCCTATGTCCTCTGCTCTGGGCAGAAGATCCAGAACTTAACCATGAAGCCAGATTCTATTGTGAACACAAGTTCTCTGAAAAGGGATTTGAGAGTAAAGAGACTTCGTTTCAGGAAACAGTGTGCAAACCAGGGAAACATAGCCTTCTTCTGAAACAAAGCTGCATTCCAGAGGACAAAGAGTTCTGGTTTTATAGCAAGAGTGCCTTCCCAGGTTCCCAATCAGGCCTCTTTATGCAGATGAAGGATTACAATCTGATTGGTCAGAGTGGCTGAGTTCTGATTGGTTGATACTGCTGAATCCTGATTGGCTGGGACAGGTGAGCTTACATTGGTTGGTTCAGGGGAGCCCTGATTGGTTGGTTTCCAGGCCCAAAACCAGAAATTTGACAGATGTTTCTTTGAAATCGCTTCTAGAGGGAGGGGATTTCCAGCCACAGTTCATCTTGGCTCCCAGCCACAGGAACTGGTTTTGCTTGATTGTAGAAAGGGAGGTCGTATGAAAAAGTTTCATAGCATCTTTCTGAGAACACAGAGTATATAACTGCTTCCTCACCAGCTATAGTGGCCTGGATCTATTTTAAATTTGAGTTTCTCAGCTAGGGGGATTCCATTTTGTCTGAGGGCTGAGGGCATGTTTTGATACTCTAAATGCTTTAAAAGGTTACTTGGATGTGAAAGCAGATGCAATTGAAGACTTTTGAGGCCAGGTGCAGTGGCTCATGCCTGTAATCCCAGCACTTTGGGAGGCCGAGGTGGGTGAATCACCTGGAGTCAGGAGTTCCAGACCAGCATGGTCAACATGGTGAAACCCCGTCTCTACAAAATATATAAAAATTAGCTGGACGTGGCGGTGGGTGCTTGTAATCTCAGTTACTAGGGAGGCTGAGGCAGAATTGCTTGAACCTGGGAGGTGGAGGTTGCAGTGAATCGAGATCATGCCATTGCACTCCAGCCTGGGGGTAAGAGCGAAACTCTGCCTCAAAAAAAAAAAAAAAGAAAAATTGAGGCCTATAATCCCAGCAGTTTGGGAGGCTGGAGTGAGCAGATTGCTTCAGTTCAGAAGTTTGAGACCAGTCTGGGCAACATGACAAAACACCATCTCTACAAAAAATACAAAAATTAGCCGGGCACAGGAATGCCCGCCTGTGGGCCCAGCTACTCTGGAGGCTCAAGTGGGAGGATCACTTGAGCCGAGGAGTCGAGACTACAGTGAGCCAAGATCACACCACTGCATACCTCCAGCCTGGGTGATGGAGCGAGACCTTGTCTCAAAATAATAAAGATAATAATTTTGAGTAGGATAGTTTTTGCTTTTGGAGAGGATAAAGAAGATAGAGCATTTGGCAATAAAAGCCTTATGTGTGCTAGAAATTGTAAAAGTTGTTTTCTCTAATTTTTTTCCACTTAATCATTTGCTATTATTTTATATAACTTGTAGAGACATAAGTTTAAATTTTTGTTTGCAAGAGGGTCCATTTATCAATTTATTGCAAAATAAACAGACTTCTAATAAAGTGCACATTGAAAAGAGGTTAGGAAAGGAATGACTTGGTTACATATTTTTTTTGGAAACATTTCCATTTACTGCAGCCTTGTAATCTCTGCCTCCTGGGTTTAAGCAATTCTCCTGCCTCAGCCTCTTGAGTAGCTGGGACTACAGTTTTGTGCCCCCATGCCTGGCTAATTTTTGTATTTTTTGTAGAGACGGGATTGCGCCATGTTGGCAAGGCTGGTCTCGAACTCCTGGTCTCAAGCGGTTTGCCTGCCTCGGCCTCCCAAAGTGCTGGGATTACAGGCATGAGTCACCACGCCCAGCCCATGCTTTTCTATTTGTTAGTGGAAATGACCGAAATTATTTAATATCACTTAACTTGTTTCAATATTTATCTTTGATCTCTATAGTGAAAAATACAGAGTTTTTACAGCAAGCTGCTTTAGAAGAATATGGTCCAGAGCTTCATGTTGCTTTGAGAAGTCGAAGAGATGAATTACACTATTTAAGGAAACTTACTGAACTGCTTTTTCCTTATATTTTGCCTCCTAAAGCAACAGACTGCAGGTATAAAAAGACTAGACAATATAATAGTATTTGCATAACATGCCATATGTATATTGCTATTTTTGATTATGATAGGAGTACACTAAAATTTGAGGTTAGCCTATGAATAGCTTTTCATTTGAAAAAATGTATTAAAGTATTAATATATAATTTATTTATTATGGTCTTAAAATGCCAATTTAAGTGCTATTTGTGGTGTGTTGTGTAGCTTAGAATTTTTCTTTAAAACTGATCTTGGACATAAAATATAAATATGAAAAAAAATTTTTTATATCATTATATTTTATTTCATTGGTGTTCCCCTTTAAAGACATGCACATTATAACTATAATAGGCAAAAACACTTAAACAAACTGTATAGATGAGTTTATGTTTCAAGGTATCCAACTGGGAAAAAGAATTGGAGGTTATTTAGTCTGTTCTTCATTTTTCTGGCTGGAGCATGTTTAGATTATTCCGTAAGTTACCTTGTTACTCTTACCCTAATAACCATTAGAGGAGTAATCATGTCTTATTTTTAGTGATATTTAAAGTGATATACTTTAAATACTACTTTTTGTTTAAAATTTTTATGTGATTAAAATTATTTTAGTATTTTGAACTGCATGATTTTTATACTAGACTAGTTTATAATAGTAAATATGATTATAAATATATTAATAATATTAAATATTAATTTAAATATGTATTAAACATTTAAGTACTCTTAGGTAGGAAGTATTTTCTTTTTATTTTTTTTTTTTGAGATGCAGTCTTGCTCTGTCACCCAGACTGGAGTTCAGTGGTGTGATCTCAGCTCACTGCAACCTCCACCTCCCAGATTCAAGTGATTCTCCTGCCTCAGCCTCCCCATTAGCTGGGATTACAAGCGTGCACTACCACGCCCAACTAATTTTTGTATTTTTAGTAGAGACGGGGTTTCATCATGTTGGCCAGACTGGTCTCGAACTCCTGACCACGTGGTCCCCCCACCTCAGCCTCCCAAAGTTCTGGGATTATAGGCATAAGCCACCCTGCCCAGCCAATAGAGAGTATTTCCTAATGTCCTCCACATTCCTCCTGTTAAGGAATACTTTTTTTTCTCTTAAGTAATATTCTATTTTAGCCACGTAAGAACTCTAACTCTTTGCTATTCAACGTGTGGTCAGCAAACCAGTAGCATGAACACTGGTTGAGAGTTCGTTAGAAATGCAGAATTTTAGGGCCTAACCAAGACCTACTGAATTATAGTCTCCATTTTAACAAGATCCTTAGGTAATTCATATGCACTTGAAAGTTAAGAACTAATATAAATCACTAAATATAAACAGTTATTATTGTTTCTTTTTCCAGATCTTTGACTTTACTTATAAGAGAGATTCTGTCTGGCTCTGTGTTCCTTCCTTCTTTGGATTTCTTAGCTGATCCAGTAAGACTTAAATTTTTTTTTTAAATTGTTACAAATTACACTTAATATAAAATTTAGTATCTTAAACATTTTTATGTATATAGTCAGTGATATTGAAAACATTCATGTTGTGCAAACATCCCCATTCCCCATCTCCAGAACTCTTCATCTTATGAAACTGAAACTCTACATCTGTTAACAATAACTCCTCATTCCTTCCTCCCTCCAGCCCTCCTGGCAACCATCATTCTGCTTTCTGTCTCCATGAATTTGACTACTCTGGGTACCACATATAAGTGGAATCATAAGTATGAGTCTTTTTGTGACTGGCTTATTTCACTTAGCATAGTGTCTTCAAGGTTCATCCATGTTGTAGCATGTGTCAGAATTTCCTTCCTTTACAAGGCTGAGTAATATTTTATTGTATGTGTATAACATGTTTTGCTTATCTGTTCATCCATTGATGGACACGTTGGATGCTTCTACCTTTGATCCAGTAAGATTTTGAAGAATTAAGAATGATTTAGAAATACTTTAAATGCCAAAATCAGAATAGCTTTTATTTGTCCATTTTCACAAAGGTTAAGAACCTCTTTTGTAGATGTAAAAAAACTGCTGTAATACATATGTACAGATTTTTTTACCACTGGTCCATTTATTTTTTCATTTTTCTAGAAACTTACATAATATGATACAAGTTGTGAAAATTCTTGGGAGAATACAGTAGTGGAATTATTTTGACTTATGTTTATTATTTTCCACTAGGATACTGTGAATCATTTGCTTATCATCTTCATAGATGACAGTCCAGTGAGTATTGAATGTATTAGAAAACAGTTCAGATTGCATTGAATTTTGATTTTGTATGTCAAATCAAGTGAGAATTTTACTGAGTTAATAATTCTCTTTCTTTCAAAGCCCGAAAAAGCAACTGAACCAGCTTCTCCTTTGGTTCCATTCTTGCAGAAATTTGCAGAACCTAGAAATAAAAAGCCATCTGTAAGAATTTTCAGCAATAACACCTTTTTGATATAAACAATTTTAGAACTCATTTATGTAGCTTAAACTTAATCTTTCTCTTATGTCAAGGTGCTGAAGTTAGAGTTGAAGCAAATCAGAGAGCAACAAGATCTTTTATTTCGTTTTATGAACTTTCTGAAACAAGAAGGAGCGGTGCACGTGTTGCAGTTTTGTTTGACTGTGGGTGAGGCTTACCTGTGTATTTTAAGAAAGTAATTTTTAAACTTTTTAATGTATTTGAATATTTTAAATCAGATCTGATGTTGTGGTACCCATCTATCATTGTACTAAATTTCATATGCTCCATTTTCTTTTTTTTTTTGTTTGAGATGGAGTTTTGCTCTTGTTGCCCACCCAGGCTGGAGTGCAATGGTGCGATCTCAGCTTACCGTAACCTCCACCTCCCGGGTTCAAGCGATTCTCCTGCCTCAGTCTCCCGAGTAGCTGGGATTACAGGCATGTGCCACCACCCCAGCTAATTTTGTATTTTTAGTAGAGACGGGGTTTCTCCATGTTGGTCAGGCTGGTCTTGAATTCCCAACCTCAGGTGACCCGCCCACCTCGGCCTCCCAAAGTGCTGGGGTTACAGGCATGCGCCACCACGCCCAGCCATCTACTCGATTTTCTAACAGCATCTGTGAGTTTCTCCCAAGTGCCAACTCCTTTCCAGATTGGGAAATAATCTGTCACTAACTTCATTCAAATCCTAGTAGCAGAAAAATAAAAGCTACTAAAAGTACAGTATAATGAAAATATTTTAAAGACCCAAACTGTAACCCATGTCAATATCACTTCACAGTTTTTGTAAAGGGTTGTTTTGTTTAAATTATCAAATATAAAAATACCTCATTTTGATTATAAGCTCTCTAGCTTTATAGATTATTAGATTTATAAGAAACTTTATAGACTATGAAAAAATTATTTTTAATGCATTTCTTTTTAAAATATAACTTAAAAAATTGAGGTATAATTTATACAGTGAAACTCAGAATTTAAATGTATAGTTTGATCAGTTTTGCACATGTGTGCATCCATGTAACCGGCATCTTTATCAAAATCTAGAACATTTATTTCTGTCAGCCCAGAAAATTCCCTTAGGATCCTTCCCAAGAGATCCACTCTTTCCCCTACTCCTGCCAAAGCAATCGCTAGTCTCATTTCTCTCACCACAGATTAGTTTTGCCTGCATAATTTTTTTTATATAGATTGAATCACATAATATGTATTCCTTTGTGCCTGGCTTCCTTCACTCAGGGTAATGCTTTTTAAAGTTCGTCTATGTTTTTGTCTAAATAAGTAGTTTGGGCAAGGCGCGGTGGCTCATGCCTATAATCCTGGCACTTCGGGAGGCCGAGACAGGTGGATCAGTTGAGGTCAGGAGTTCCAGACCAACCTGGGCAACATAGTGAAACCCTGTCTTGACAAAAATACAAAAATTAGCCAGGCATGTTGACTCATGCCTGTAATAGCAGCTACTCAGGAGGCTGAGGCAGGAGAATTGTTTGAACTCGAGTGGTGGAGGTTGCAGTGAGCTGAGATCGTGCCACTGCACTCCAGTCTGGGTGACAGAGTGAGACTCTGTCTCAAAAATAAATAAATAACATAGTTTGTTCTTTGCTGAGTGGTATTCCATTGTGTAAATACATATATCTTTTATTACTTTATAACTATTACTAGGTGTAGACACATTTGAGATTGTTATATCTTCTTAATGAATTTATCCTTTTATCATTATAAAATGCTCCTCTTTTGTCTTTGGTAATGTTCAGTCTTGAAGTCTACTGTGTCTGATGTTAATGTAGCCACATCATCTTTCCTTATGTTTGAGTGTGCATTTGTATATCTTTTTCTATCTGATTGAAATGTTTAATGTATTTCTAGTAAGCAGCACATAGTTGCTCTTGCTTTAAAAAACTAATTTAGTAATCTTTGTTTTTTAATTGGTATCTGTAGTACCTTTACACTTGATATATTTATTACATGTTTATTGTTAGGCCTTCCATCTTGGTGTTTGTTTTATATTTGTCCTGTATATTCCTTGCCTTTCTTTTACTCCTTTGCTGCCTTTCTTGAGGTTGAGTATTTTTTAGTATTTTGTTTTATCTTTCCTATTGACTTTTTGAGTCTGTTCTGTTATTTTTTTGATTGATCAGATATTATTTTTTTTTTCATTTATCATAGTCTTAATTTAAAAATATTTTACTACTTCAGGAGCAATGTAAGAACCTCAGTGTACCTCAGAGCTTCCCCTCCTGTCTATTGTGCTCCTGTTGTTATGTATTTTAATTCTTCATAGGCTATAAACCCACAGTACATTATTTCTTCACTAAATAGTCATCAGGCTTCTACATGTATGGAATGCACATACACATTTATTTTTAAAGGTTCTTATAATTATTGGCATATTTACTGTCCCAGTGCTCTTCATTTCTTTCTGCAGAACCAGGCTTCTAATATCATTTCTTTCTGCTGAAAGAAATGATTTTCACAGTTCTTATAATACAAATATGCTGGAGATAAATTTTCTTAGCTTTTGTCTGTCTGAAAAGATGGCATGATCATGGCTCATGAAATACAACCTCAACTTCCTGAGCTCAAGTCATCCTCTTGCCTCAGCCTCCGAAGTAGCTGGGACTACAGGTGAACACCACCATGCCTGGCTAATTCTTTATAGAGACTGAGTCTCACTATGTTGCCTAGGCTGGTCTTGAACTCCTGGGCTCAGGTGATCCTCCTGCCTCAGCCTCCCAAAGTGCTGGGATTACAGGCATGAGCCATCACACCTGACCTTTAATCAATTTTGACAATTCCTGGCTGTCTTTTCAAATATCCTGCTCCCTTATATGCATGTTAACTCATACAGGAATGGCAGTTATATTCTGTGGCCTCACAAGTCATCAGCTTTTTTTTTTTTTTTTTTTAACTCCCTTTTTCCCCCTTTATATTTTGGTTTGAATGATTAAAAAGTAAATGGTAAACTCCTTATTAACACATCTTGAAATAAAATGAAAAAACAATTGGTATTTTGGCTGTCCTAATACAACCATCTTTTATTTTGGAATAAACATTCATTTGTTCAAACTGTCAGTTCTGCCACTAATTTGCAGCGTTCATGATGGAGAGAAATATTGTTTAAAAACATTGATTGGAACTAAAAACAGTATTCATATTTATTTTTGTTTAGTAAATCAGATTTCAGAATAATGAAAGACTTGTGGTATAATAAATTAATCCAATATTGTTCTTTAAGGAAACTATTAGAAGTGTGTTTAGTGTCCTGAATTTCAGCAAATTTGTATTGCTATTTATGTATTTACATATTTTCTGTTAATGTATAAAAACTGGTTGATTGCATTTCTCTTTTATTGAGTAATCTTATTCTCAAATATTTTTTAAAAACTTAGATGAATTAGATTGCTTCTAATTGCTGCTGTTAGTGTTGGCTACAATTAGAATGGGACTATTAAGTGTTTATGAATAGTTTTATATTAAAATTATTTTTTCTTATTCTTTCCCTCATTTGTTAGAGGAATTTAATGATAGAATTTTACGACCAGAATTATCAAATGATGAAATGCTATCTCTTCATGAAGAGTTGCAGAAGATTTATAAAACATACTGTTTGGATGAAAGTATTGACAAAATTAGATTTGATCCCTTCATTGTAGAAGAGATTCAAAGAAGTAAGTCAAAGACGATGAGAATGACTTATTTAGCATTCTTACAGTTTTCCCATTTATTCTCTGCTTACTATTGCAGTGGCTATCTGCAGTACACGGGCAGCTATTATTCTATTTTACTAATGAGATGAAAGCTTTAAAGAAGAGACTTGTTTATACTTTACGTATTTGTCAGAACTAGAGCTTGGTTGGTCTAATTTCTCAATCTAGTGTGTTTCTTACAGTGGAGTTTCAGTAAAACGTAGTTTTAGAACTGTATATGTTTATGCTATTTATAAATAATTTCTACAATAGAATTTTTTTAATAGTTGCTGAAGGCCCATACATAGATGTTGTGAAACTTCAAACTATGAGATGTCTTTTTGAAGCATATGAACATGTCCTTTCTCTTTTGGAGAATGTATTTACTCCTATGTTCTGCCATAGTGATGAGGTAAGTCAAAATATTAAGCTTGTTTGAGGATTTTTATACATAATTTAGTAGTAGCTCTGATTTCATTAGATGAGTGATTCAAATAACAAAATAAATAGAAAAATAAAACAAGATTGCTGGGCACGGTTGCTCATGCCTATAATCCCAGCACTTTGGAAGGCTGAGATGGGTGAATCACTTGAGTTCAGGCATTCAAGACCAACCTGGCCAACATGGTGAAAGTCCATCTCTACTAAACACAAAAAGTTAGCTGAGTGTGGTGGCACATGCCTGTAATCTCAGTTACTCGGGAGGCTGTGGCAGGAGAATAGCTTGAACCCAGAAGGCCAAGGTTGCAGTGAGCTGAGATCACACCACTGCACTCAAGCCTGGGCGATAGAGCAAGACTCTGTCTCAGTGGAAAACAGAACAAAAAGACCAAGTCTTTTCCTGTATGTAATTAAGTGAAGATTAAAAAATAATTGCAAAAACAATTATCAATACCAAAACCTGTTTATATTTATGTAAGTAGATAGATTGGGACCAAATAGGTCTGCCTGGTTTGCCATATGCCTGAGCAGCTTTGTAGTATTGCAGTGATGCAGAAATCTCATTGTATACACGTTATTTACAAACCTGTGGAAATCATCTGCGTTTGCAATATTTTCATCCTTGCCCTATTTGACAATGTCTGTATTCACTTGATTGAGATAGCTTTTTTTTTTCCCCCAAAACTGGAAAGTAGTAAACTAAGGTAACATGTTTTAATATTAATTGTAAGTGTAATAAATGATAATTACTGTTTGTTATTTTAAAGTATTTCAGACAACTTTTAAGAGGTGCAGAATCACCAACACGCAATTCAAAATTCAACAGGTAGGTTGTATGTTTTGTTTTTGAACTTGCTGATGCCAATCATTCTATGATAGCATCGTTGTCTTTATTAGCTATTTTTCTGAATGAATATGTGGTTCCATTGTTATATGAGTAGACAAGGCATTTTACTAGTGAATTGTAGAACTGTCTTCTATATAGTGATCTGAAAATGCCTGAAATTCTTTTAGAAAAATTTAACAAGATACATAATGTGGCCTTGTTAATCTCATAATTAATATATATTAGTTTTGATTACCGGCTTTATTGGAGACTAGGGACTGAATGCATAAGTGGCGTCCACAGATAACTCAGAATTAAATGTTTTAGAGAAAACTTTTTTTTAAGAGTGCTTACTGGGTACAAAAGTGGAGGAATGTTTATTTCTTTTTTTGGCTCTCTGGAAACCTGAGTGTACAGTTAAGATATCTAAAGAAAGGTAATAGAAGAGAAAAGCTTTATCTATTTGTAAACTGGATAATTAATATTCTGATTTGTCTTTGCAAGGTTACATGTACAAAATTGACACAGATACTAAATGTATAAATCTACAGAATAGATTTATAAATAAAATATATGAATAAATATATATTTTAAGTCACATAATAGCAAATCAACAAACCTATTCTGAATTTCCAATGAAAGAATATTAATGGCTGGGCACGGTGGCTTACACCTGTAATTCCAGCACTTTGTGAGGCCGAGACGGGTGAATCACTTGAGGTCAGGAGTTTGAGACCAGCCTGGCCAACGTGGTGAAACCCCGTCTTTACTAAAAATATGAAAATTAGCCGGGCATGGTGGCACATGCCTGTAATTCCAGCTACTTGGGAGGCGAAGCAGGAGAATTGTTTGAGCCCAGGAGGTGGAGGTTGCGGTGAGCCGAGATCACGCCACTGCACTCCAGCCTGGGTGACAGAGCGAGACTGTCTCAAAAAAAAAAGAAAGTTAAGAAACTCTTTTGACTTCTTATATATAAAGTAAATGAATCATTTCATTTACTTTTCATTTTCATTTCTAATCATTTCATTTACCTTATATATGTACAAAATTGACACAAACATCTCAACACCTTCCAATTTGAGCAAGCCTCTAATAAACATATAAATAAATTGGATATGTACTACAAAGAGAGAAGTAGATAAGTCAAGAAATGGGGCAGTGTTTTAGATAGTTAGTAGAAGGAAAAATGTGAAAACCTTAGCCATGAGGGGAATATATTGTATTTCTTGACATAACCAAGTGTTATGGGAATAGGTGTTTCTTTGAACATTGAATATTAATTCTGATTTAATGCCTCAGTAGAAGTAGCATACATGTAATAACTTTTCTGAAAGGTAGAAAATACGTTTAGGATTATTTGGAAAAATGCTACTTTTTAACTTTTTCCTAAAAATTTATATGTTATAGCCATGAAGCTTAGATTTTATTTAACAAAAATCATACTCATACTATTTAATATAACATTCTTTGCCCAGGCCACATGCCTTTTCTTGCATTTGAATTCTTTTCTAAGGAGTTTCCTCGAATTTACTGGCATACTTGAGAAGCAGGTAGAATTTATCCTTGTTTATAGACATAAGATGTTTGGAGTTTCATACCAGGGCACGGAGCTAATGAAATGCCCTTTTCTAGGACCATTTAAGGGGAAGTGGTTCTGTGACCTTAAAAGCCTGCTTGGTAGATGGCTGGGCGTGGTGGCTCACGCCTGTAATCTCAGCAATTTGGGAGGCTGAGGCAGGCGGATCACCTGAGGTCAGGAGTTCAACACCAGCCTGGCCAACATGGTGAAACCCTGTCTCTGCTAAAAATACAAAAATTAGTCAAGTGTGGTGGAACACACTTGTGATCCCAGCTACTTGGGAGGCTGAGACAGGAGAATCACTTGAACCCAGGAGGCAGAGGTTACAGTGAGCTGAGATTGCACCACTGCACTCCAGCCTGGGCAACTAAGACTCCATCTCAATTAAAAATAAAATAAAATAAAATAAAAAGCTTGCTTCGTAGTTAAAATTTAAGTCAAGGTCATAACTTCAGAGATGAAAAAAGCCTTCTTTGCTACTTTGAGAACACTTGATTATTTTCAGCATATTAAAGTACTAATTTTGTTGGCTTTAAAATATAAAAAAGACAGATTATATGGGTTCTTTTCATTCTGGATACTGATTATGACTTTTTAAAGTATGTTTTTCTTTATGGTGATCTGATTTTAATAGTTAACTATCAGTCTTGTCAGGACTCTGCTTCTGTGATAGTTAATGATTTATTTACCTATATACAATAAAAGTTTTTTAACATTCTTTCATTGGAGATTTAGAATAGCTTTGTTAATTTGCTATTAAATGACTTAAATTACATAAAATATGTATTCATATATTTGATGTCCACATTTTATATTTTCGAAGTAAAATTCTAATGCGTATTATTTATCATGTTCTCTGTTTCATTCTACACTTAAAGTACAACTTTTGTTTTTTAATATTTAGAGATCTTTTGTTAACTGTGCTTCTTAGCTTAAAACATTTTTTTACTCAAGCTAAAAACATGTGAAGCATAAATGATTCTATCTAACATGGACACAAATTTAATGTTGGAAAATATGGGTTTGTTTTTTGTGCCAGATTTTTAGTGGTTCAGTCTCTGCATACTTTCCACTGTATGAAAGAAATGGTATGCCTGAGGACAAAGAAAAGACAGAATTATTTCTGGATATTTAATTTCTAAGAACCTTTTTTAATGATGTAGAAAAAAAGTCAGTTATTTCCTGATATATTTAATTTTTTTCCATGTCACCCAAGAGATAACATATTTAAGAACCGTTTTTAGTAATGTAGACTTCATCCAAACACACAAGACAGCTATGTGCATTTATCTTATCTTTATCACCTTATTCATTAGATTTCTTCCCTTTGGAAAGATGAATGTTATACACCTGTGTAACTTCTGAAGCTTTTAAATTTTGTTTTGTGTTCTAGAAGTTTATATAATATCTGGGCTTTCTTTCTTTCCTCTCCTTGTATAATTTCACATACCTGTTATTGCAGAGGTAGCCTAAGTTTGGATGATTTTCGGTAAGTCTTGAGCATGTGATTCTTTTCAGTATTAAATGTTTTTAGAAAGTACATTGTGAACAACCTAATAGAAATAAAAAGGAAAAAAATGAAAAACTATAGTATTAACTGCCATTATATCCTAGTTATTTAGGATAATCTTTTAAAAGGAATACCTACTTTTAGTCTAGATATGTCCTCTTTGAAATAGCATATGTCATCATAAAATAAAAATGTCCTGATACTTCAAAGATATTTTCGTTATTTAATTTGTCAGTATCTTGTTTTTTAAGGCTGTTGACTCATTTTTGTTCTTGTTAATTTTGCTAAATTAATTTTAGAATTATTTATGTTTAAATAATCTTTTTTTTTTTTTTTTAAAGAAGTATCATGTTTCTGTATTTCTGGGCATAATCACAAGTGAGACTTTTTAAATTTCATATTTCAACAACCCCCATTGTTTTGTAATATCCATGTTGTAGAGACTAGAATAAACCATTTGGAGTCTAGAGATTTTAAAAATGTTTTGTTAACATTTTTATGTCTTGGGAAGCTTTTTTTTTTTTAAATCAAGGACAGTTGTGTCTACAATTCTTGTTTAAAAAAACCCTAATTGTATGTTTGTTTAGATAAAATAATCTAGTTTAAGTATCCCTTTTACTGCTTACTACTTACTATTAGTGTTTTTCCAGAAGTTTGATTTACTTCTTGGATGTGCGTAAAATACACATTACTACATATTGGTGTATTTGAAACTTGATTAATTTTCTTTCTGTAATTATATTATTTTAGTAGATAACTTAATTTTCCTCACAGGAGTAATAGCTATACACTTGAGCATTCAAAACAAACTTTCTCAGATTATTTTAAAGTAGTCATTTTTATTTGGATATCTGTTGTAAGAGCAGCATTACATAGTGAACATGACTTTATTTTATTTTATATATTTTTTCAAGATGGAGCCTCACTCTGTCGCCCAGGCTGGAGTGCAGTGGTGCCATCTCGGCTCACTGCAACCTCTGCCTTTCGGGTCCAAGTGATTCTCCTGTGTTAGCCTTTGCCTTTCATCTCGCTTGGCTAATTTTTGTATTTTTAGTACAGGTGCGGTTTCGCCATATTGGCCAGGCTGGTCTCGAACTCCGGACCTCAGGTGATCTGCCAGCCTTGGCCTCCCAAAGTGCTGAGATTACAAGTGTAAGCCACTGTGCCTGGCCTTGAGCATAACTTTTAAATTGGATAAAAGTTATGGTTTTAGTTGCTGAAACATTGGGCAGTAGGCTAACGGACATTTTTGCTACTTTTAGCTTATTTATTTTGTTGCTTTTCAGCTATTTCTGCTTTCAGAAATTCAACTTAAAAAAATTGCAAAACCAACATTTAATATTTATGGCAGAGCAGACTGCTTCCTAGGGCTACATTTGCTTTTATCCCTATGCTCATTGCTAACCTTTCCCTTTGTCACTATTATTTTTCTTAAAGTTCCTTCTGAAAATGAAGTAGTGAGAAAACAATAGTTGACATTTTTTTCTGTTGCATAATTTTAGTACAGTTACTCTAAAGGGATGTTTTCCGTTTTGAACAGATCTTAAACATTTTTTTATCTATTTCAAAATATCGCAATAAGAACTATATTCCGCTAGGGGGCTCTCATCTTTTAAAAATTTTAATCCGGTTAATATTTTGAAGTTAATAGTAGGTAAATTTTGAGTGTTTATAAATAAATATTGTCCCGTTTATTCATCCACCAAATTTAAACTATGTCATTTTTGGCTTCTGAGATGTTACTTAATCCATGGATGAAAACTCCAAAAGTTATGTTAGCTATACCTTTAGTTTATCATTTTCAAAACTGTTTTTCTTTTTTTCTAAATAATGGTTTTCAGTAAACCAGACTGTTGTGATAATTTGCTATGTACTTGATACATGTTTGTTTAATATTCAGGAACACACAGAAAAGGGGAGAATCATTTGGAATCAGCAGAATAGGTAGCAAAATTAAAGGAGTATTCAAAAGTACCACAATGGAGGGAGCTATGTTGCCTAATTATGGTGTAGCTGAAGGTGAAGATGATTTTGTAAGTAAAATGTATCAATTTGATTTATTTATAACTTCACACTTACTATGACATAAAAATTAGAGATACTCATTATTTTCCTTTTTTTTTTTTTTTTTTTTGGAGAATCTGTATTCTCATACTTTCCCTTTATCTTCTTACTTCAGACTTCCTTTGTATTTCTCATTCTTTACTTAGTTGTGATAGTTTCATGACGTGAATCTAATTTTTAAAATTCCTGGGAACTATGTTATTGCTTATTAAGGCAGAATGGTTCCTGTTAAGCTGAGACACTTCTAATATTCAAACAGTTTACCATCTTTTGGTTAAGCTTCAAATTCTGATGTTACCTTTTTCCTACCATGTGCTCCAGGTATACAGAGCTGCTAATAGATGCTCTAGCTCCTTGCTTACTTAAACTGCGGTCTGTTGACAAGCAGCATTGGCATTACCTGGGAGCTTGTATAAATACAGAATCTCAGGCACTCTCCTAGACTTACTGAATCAATTTGCATTTTAACAAGATTTCCGGTTGACTTATATGCACATTTTACTTACCATGCTATTTTATTTCTCTGTGTCTTTGTCCTGCTTGAAATGCCCTTCATTTGTTTATTGACCTGGAAAATTCATGTGCATCCTTCAAAATGCAGCTGTTCCCCATAAACCTTTACCCAAATCCCCAAGTTGAACTGAACATTTCCTCCTTTTGTGTCCCTATTATATCATATGTTAAAACTTATACCATAATGTATTTGAAGTTATATGTTTATGATTGTCTTTTGTATCACATAGTGCCATAAAGGCAAGTATTGTCTCATTTGTACTTTTTATTTTTATTGAATAGAGATCTTGGATTCTCATTTTGTCTTTTAATGACCCTGGGCACTGGGGATGAAAACAAGATTAAGATGCAGACCTTGGCTTTAAGAAATTCACTTAACTTGGGTGTAAAAGGGATGTTTAGTACTGATTGGATTGATGATGACCAAGAAGGAGGAAAGGTGGGGAGACAGCAGTAAACCCTTGTCTTTTACCCCTTCCTTTTGACCTTTGTCCCATTGCCTTGATGTAAGGGTCACTGATTCTTCATAATAATTTAAATGGAATAAAATGTTATTTAAACCTTTTTTATTAATTCAAATAAAGCAGTTTTTTTATGCCTTTATTTTTTCCCTATAAGTGTGGGTATTATTATTATTTTTTGAGATAGAGGCTTGCTCTGTCACCCAAGCTGGAGTGCAATGGCACGATCTCAGCTCACTGCAACCTCCGCCTCCTGGGCTCCTGCCTCAGCCTCCAGAGTAGCTGGGATTACAGGCGCCCACCACCATGCACAGCTAATTTTTATATTTTTTTTGGTAAAGATGGGGTTTCACCATGTTGACCAGGCTGGCCTTGAACTCCTGACCTCGTGATCTACCCACCTGTAGTCCCAAAGTGTTGGGACTACAGGCATGAGCCACCGCACCCGGCCTTGGTGTGGGTAGTATTTTTATGCTGGGTGTGGTGGCTCACATTTGTAATCTCAGTACTTTGGGAAGCTGAGGTGGGAGGATTGCTTGAGCCAAGGAGTTCAAGACCAGCCTAGGCAACATGGCGAGACCCTGTCTTTACAAAAAATTAAAAAATTAGCTGGGTGTGATGGTGCACAACTGTGGTTGTAGCTACTTGGAAGGATCACTTGAGCTCAGGGGGTTAAGGCTGCAGTGAACCATGTTTGTGTCACTGTACTCCAGCCTGGGTAACAGAGTAAGAGCCTGTCTCAAAAAAAAAGTGTGGATAGAAGAAAGTAGATCAGAGAAAATCTTTTTCAAAATAATGTTTATGTTTTCTAATTTTAAGCATATTTTCAGTTTTTAAATAATATAGAACAGTGGAAAAAAATTAAATGCCATGTACATGCATAATCTTACCACCCAGTAACCACTTCTATTAATAGTTTGGTGATTTTCTTTAAAAACAAACAAACAAAAAAACTTTCCCTTTTCACCCCGGTAGACAAGACTACATTTTATATATATAGTTTGCTATCTTTTCTCTCTATTCAGTATTATAACAAAAGTATTTAACCGTGTTATTACAAACTTTTAAAACATAATTTTTTGTGGAGGAAGATGTGTTTTTTATTTTTTGCCTTCCCAACTGCTTGATACACAAGCTGTACTTTAGCTTCAGGAATAGGAGGCTATCTTTAAAAAGCTGAGAGAATTTGCTTTGTTTTGTAGTGACCCAAGAAGAAGGAAATTCTTGATTGGGATTAAAGATAGTAGTAACAGAAAGTTGGAGAAGCAGGCAAACTAATATTTAATACTATCAAAGGAAAACTCAGGGACAGTGAGGTGCTAACGCAGACTAAGATGATGCCATTTAGGATTTAGAAGACACTATGTTAGTTCTAACTTGTGGGACCTTGGGGAATCCTCTTTGTCTTGTTTGGAAGTTGAGGGAAAAGTTTCCAGTTTCATTGCCGGGTGATCCTAAATTGGTTTGTGATCCTAAGTTGGACATTTAGGATGACTAATTGGAGACTTAGGAGACATTATCTCAAACTCCTGACCTCAGGTGATCCACCTACCTTGGCCTCCCATAGTGCTGGGATTACAGGCGTGAGCCAACATGCCCAGCCTGACATTATCTTTCAGAACCCTCGTTGTGATCATTTGGCGGTAGTGCCTGCTTGCTGTGTGGTCTTGGGCACATTCGTTAATTTTATTATGATTTGTTTCATCACCTTGAAATGGAGGTAATTTTATCTTTCATAGGGATGTTGTAAGGAGTATTAAGCAAGTAATATATACGAAGCACTGAGAACAGTGCCTTGCACATAGTGAGTCCTGTAAGCACATCAATTCTCGTAGCTGTGTGATCTCAAGTTAGGGATTAAATTAGCATCCGTCCATATGCTGGCCTGGGAACCAAAGCCTAGTATATAAGATTGGGTCAGGGCTGGGTATGGTGGCTCATACCTGTAATCCCAGCACTTTGGGAGACTGAGGCTGGAGGATCACTTGAGTTTAGGAATTCGAGACCAGCCTGGGCAACATGGTGAAATCCTGTCTCTACAAAAATAGAAAAATTAGCTGGATGTGGTCTACTCAGGAGGCTGAGGGAGGATCACTTGAGCCCGGGAGGAGGAGTTTGCAGTGAGCCTGGCAACAAAGTGAGACCCTGTCTCAAAAAAAGAAATTGGGTTGAAAATTGGGTTGGTGTATCAGAAAATGTATTTCTGTCCAAGTTCAGAACTGGCTTACAAATATACTTATGGAATATAATATGCCTGTTGGTAACTTGGCAGATATCTCTGTACAGGAAAAGAATAGTCAGAAATATTAACATTTCTTGAGGAAATTTTATTTCCATCTTCCATAATCCCCATCCTCTTGGTAGAGATAGCAGGTGTTTGGAAACGAAAAAGTATTTAAAGTACTTGATTTTCCTTTATTAACATTTTGATTACAATATTTTCTTTTTTTTTTTTTTTTTGAGACGAAGTCTTGCTCTGTCGCCCAGGCTGGAGTGCAGTGGCCGGATCTCAGCTCACTGCAAGCTCCGCCTCCCGGGTTCACGCCATTCTCCCGCCTCAGCCTCCCGAGTAGCTGAGACTACAGGCGCCCGCCACCTCGCCCGGCTAGTTTTTTGTATTTTTTAGTAGAGACGGGGTTTCACCGGGTTAGCCAAGATGGTCTCGATCTCCTGACCTCGTGATCCGCCCGTCTCGGCCTCCCAAAGTGCTGGGATTACAGGCTTGAGCCACTGCGCCCGGCCACTTGTTTTCAAATAGCATTAAAGGATGCCCTGAAAATTCTTAGAGAAATATTTCCCTAGAGATTTTTCTTTAGGCTTTGATAAAAATACCATTTAAGTAGTAACAGTAATAAATTGCAAAACTTTGTCCCTTTACATTGCTAAGAATTTTGTTCTCCCATTTTGTTTCTTAGATTAATTCTGAGGAGCTTCTTTTAATTTAAGAATGCCCCCCCCTTTTTTTTTTTTGGCTTTTAGTCAGCATTTTCAACAAATTCTCTGTTATTGTATGATTCACTTTCCCCTCTCCTCAGAAGCTACATCCATTAACAAAAATATACTTGTATTAACCATGGAAAATGCTACCTTGAACCTCAGGTTTTAAGCATTGGGTGTTTCCTTCACACATCTCTCTGTGTTTCTTCCAAGATTGTAAGAAGGTAACCTTGCCTTTTAAAAGGCAAAACCCAACATCTGTCATCTGTTTTAATAGTTTTGTTTTTTAAGGTCTTGAAGTTGTTTTCAACAGAGCATTAAGAAGTCTTCCTAAGATCAGTGAGAGTCTTATTAGAGATTTTGGAAAGCCAGTTTAGGATGAGAACAGAAAAAAGCAAAGCAGGAGCCAGGCGTGGTGGCTCACGCCTGTAATTCCAACACTTTGGGAGGCTGAGGCGGGCGGATTATGAGGTCAGGAGATTGAGACCATCCTGGCTAACACGATGAAACCGCGTCTCTACTAAAAATAGAAAAAATTAGCTGAGCGTGGTGGCGGGCGCCTCTAGTCTCAGCTACTCGGGAGGCTGAGGCAGGAGAATGGCATGAACCTGGGAGGGAGAGCTTGCAGTGAGCAGAGATTGCGCCACTGCACTCCAGCCTGAGCGACAGAGCGAGACTCTGTCTCAAAAAAAAAAAAAAAGAAAAAGCAAAGGGGTTTTGTGGGGGAGGAAAGGAATTTCCTTAGAAGAGAGGGTAAGTACCCGGGGTAAGAGGAAAGAACTGAGAGTGAGGGTAGGGCTAGAATTCTGGAAATAAATTCCTCTGTACTACTGATTTGCTCTGACTAGGCTATTCAGAATTCTTTTAAGTGCTACAGACTTTGACTCATTGCCTTTAAAAAGGTGTGTTCCAGATGAATGCATTTCATTTATAATATTTTGCCCTTTCTAACATGAATAAGAGATGTCTAGGTGAGTCAGTGTTTATAATATGCCAGATTCAAATAATCTCTTCCAATTTAAAAAATGGAGACAGTTATTTCCTTCTTCCTATGTATCTATTTCTAGAACATGTGGTTTTGTTTTTAAAAATAATTTTTATTTTATTTTTTCAGTATTTAAAAATATTTAGCATTTTAAACATTTATGTTGTTAAAGTTTAAGAAGTGATGAAATAAAAAACTCTTAATTCTGTAGAGGTGGGTTTCTTCCAGACGTTTTTTTCCAATTTTTTGTTACTTATGTTACAGTTTTTACTTGGGTCTTTTTTATGGTTAAAAAATTTTTGGAGTAAATATTTTTATTAAAATAAATTTCCAAAAATGGAATTACTTGTTTGAAATCATTTTATGACTCTTTATAGATACATATTGCCAAAACACTTTCCAGAAGGGTTGTGCTGGTATACCTTGTAACTGGTAGTGTGGCACAGATCTAGTTTATCTGTGCAGTCTCCATGAATGACTGCTATCATTTATAAAATTTTACTTCTCGAAATGAGAAAAATACCAGAACTTTACTTTTTATTTATTATCACAAAGGTTGAACAGTTTCTATATTTGTGTATTTTACATTTTTTTCCCTAATCTCTGAGGTGTATATTCTTTATCTTCTATTATATTTTCTTTCTTTCTTTTTTTTTGAGACAGGGTCTCACTCTGTCACCCAGAATGGAGTACAGTAGCACGAACCTGGCTCACTGCAATCTCAGCCTCCTGGACTCAAGCAGTGCTGCCACCTCAGTTTCCTGAGTAGCTGAGACTACAGAGGCGGGCCACCATGCCCAACTAATGTTTTAAAAATATTCTGTAGTGATGAGGTCTCACTGTGTTTCCCAGGCTAGTCTCAAACTCCTAGGCCCAAGCAATCCTTCCACCTCAGCCTCTGTGAAAGTGTTGGGCTTATAGGTGCTGTCCCCAGCCTATTATATTTTCATATACAGATGATGTAAGAAAACTTGGAGTTGATGCTAGTAACTTGTTTTTAGCTTTTTACCTATACTTTTTCAGTAGAAAATTTAATATCACCTAGCTTTTAGAGTCTTAAAAATTATCAGTTGATATGGGCATATTACTTTATACTTGTATCTCATATGCTATAGTTCTAAAGGTATTGGGAATATTAAATTTATCCTGGTAATTTTTTTCCAGATTGAAGAAGGTATTGTTGTAATGGAAGATGATTCTCCAGTGGAGGCTGTGAGCACACCTAATACTCCCCGAAACCTTGCTGCATGGAAAATTAGCATTCCATATGTAGACTTTTTTGAGGATCCCTCCTCTGAAAGGAAGGAGAAAAAAGAAAGAATTCCTGTGTTTTGTATTGATGTTGAAAGAAATGATAGAAGAGCAGGTAGGAAGCTTTCTGAGCACCTTTCTTAAAAGATACCCGTGAATGAGTCTGTTGTTAGCAAGTGTGATAAACATTTTGCCACTTCTAGCTAGCAAATATGGCTGCATATCCAAAAAAGAAGTGTCCAGAACAGAAAATTGAAAGAAAGCTTAGGATGTCCTAAGTTATCTTCATAGCAGTTAACTAACTGATTCAATCAGCACTTATTGAGTGATGCCTGCTAGACACCTGACAGTCCATCAGGCATTCAATGTAATGTTCTTTTAATGGTTTTGTTGCCGTCATTAGCGATTGTACTTACTTAATTATCATTAATCCATATAGCAATATATCAGGTATTATTCTAGTTTAATTAAGACAGCGTTTTCTCTCACCCATTTTGTGGGCTAATTAGAAAATATGGCCAAACATGGTGGCTCACGCCTTTAATTGCAGTACTTTGGGAGGCCAAGGTGGGTGGATTACCTGAGGTCAGGAGTTTTGAGACCCACCTGGCCCACATGGTGAAACCCTGTATCTACTAAAAATACAAAAATTAGCCATGCGAGGTGGTGCATGCCTGTAGTCCCAGCTACTCTGGAGGCTGAGGCATGAAGATTGCTTCAACCTGGGAGGCGGAGGTTGCAGTGAGCTGAGATTATGTGACTGCACTCTAGCCTGGGAGACAGAGTGAAACCCTGTTTCCAAAAAAAAAGGACTGATGAAAATATGGTTAAAACTACAGGTTTTCTTCATGTTTTGCTATACTTTTTCTTTCGGTTATTTCAGGTATAGACTGTCATAGAGACCAGGGTTAACGGCATCTGTAGCAGGATAAACAGTCACCACTTTAAAGTCCTACTTATAACATGATAAAAAGAAATCGAATTAAAAAATAAAACAGTGACCACTTTGCACTTTTTCTAAGAAGTGGGGCAGTGAGTATAACGAAAAGCACCACATTTTGAGAATGATGAGCAGAAAATAAAGTTGAGCTCAGGAAGAGGGAGTTATGAGGAAAGAAGGAAAAAAAGTGGCAATGTTAGAAAATGGTTTTGAGAGGGTAAGTGGTAGGGTGAAGATCAGTGCTAATTATTTTTATTTTTCAAAAAGTATTAGGTTTTCTGATTTTCCTCAGAAGTTGATCCTGTTTCAAGAACATGAGACATAGGAATTGGGAGGGAAGAATGCCCAGAGTAGCTAGTTACAATTTTTCCTATCATAACTAAATATCAGGCAGAGTCTTACTCTGTCCAGGTCTTACACCATACTGCCTGATTTTGCCGGAGTTACTGTTCAGTCTTACTAGTTGCTGTTCTTTCAGCATTCTGACAGGTGGACAGCTAAACTGTTGTTAATTCTGACAGGTGGACAGCTAAACTGTTGTTAATTCTGACAGGTGGACAGCTAAACTGTTGTTAAACTGAGTCAGATTTCCATTTCAAACTTAGTTTTGTTTGGAATATACTTTTGTTTTTGCTTTAGGACAACTATTTTTAATTTTTATGCTTTATCTTAAAAGGTTAATTTAACATAAATTATAAATTCATGGCTCAGTAATTCGAAAATAAAAACCAAAAAATCTTAAAACTTGTATTTTATTTTATTTTTTAATTTAATTTTTTTTTTTTCTTTTTGAGAGGGGGGTCTTGCTTTGTTTCCCAAGCTGGTGTGCAGTGACGTGACTGTGGCTCACTACAGCCTCGACTTCCCAGGTTCAAGCAATCCTCCCACCTCAGCCTCCTGAGTAGCTGGGACTATAGGTGCATGTCACCATGCCCAGCTAATTTTAAAACTTTTTCGTAGAGAAAGGGTCTCACTATGTTGCTGAGTCTGGTCTCGAATTCCTGGGCTCAAAGTGGTCTTCCCGCCTTGGCCTCCCAAAGTACTGGGATTACAGGTGTGAGCCACTGTGCTGGGCCAAAAGCTTGTATTTTAAAGATAATTTTTTTGTCACCAGTGCTGCAGACTTCTACTGTCAATGAAATGTGCTCTTAGAAACCATGATCTATTAGGGAGAAAAAAGTATATCATTTAGTGTATTGATTTTATGTGGGTAACAAAATAACAATTTCAGCATTAAAAACCTAGCCTAAATATACTATGGATCTTTTAAGACCAGTGTTGAAGAAGAAAACTAGGATTTGCTTTATATGTTGTGATCAGGTTGATTTTTTTCTAAATAGACGTGTTGTTTTGGATGGTTGTGGTATTGCTTCACTCGATCTACTGCATTCTGAAATCTATGGTACAATGATGTTAGATGTTAACAATAACAGTTAACATTTATGAGGTATTTACTCTGTGCTATGCTGTGCTATGCACTGTACAGAAGTGCTTTGTGTGGATTATTTTAGGTGATAGACACAATTATTGTTATTCTACATCTACACACTGCAAGGTACACAGTGGTGTTATTTGTTCAAGGCCACATAGTAAATGGGGGCAAGGTGAACTGGGATTAGAATAGGCAGTCTGATTCCAGATTTACTCTTTAAACCATTACTATGTGCTGCCCAATTTAGTAGCCACTAGCTGCATGTGGTAATTAAACTCAAATTAAATTGTATTAAAATTTCAGTTCTTTAGTTGCATTAGCCGCCTTTCAAGTACTCAGTGGCAACATGTGGCTAGTAGCTAGTATATTAATGCAGATCCATGGAGCATCTTCCTAACTGCAGATAGTTCTGTTGGATAGTACTGCTTTATACTATATTAAATTAGGACAATATGGTAAATGTTTGAGAAACCCCAAATCAATAAAAAACTCTTATGAAATACATCTTTTGGTGACAGTTTAAAAATAATCATAATCGCATGATATTTTAAAGTTTCTGTCAGCTCTGATTCTGTTATAGAAAAAGTATATTTGAGATAACTTCATAGATGAAATTTATCAGTCACTTGTAGGTAACTAAAATATGGGATAAAATGTGTTAATAATGTTATGCCAAAAATAACAAATTACGACTGTGGAATAATGTCCAGCTTTGTATTCTTTTTTTTTTTTTTTTTGAGACAGAGTCTCACTCTGTTGCCCAGGCTGGAGTGTAACAGCGCGATCTCAGCTCACTGCAACCTCTGCCTTTTGGGTTCAAGCGATTCTCCTGTCTCAACCTCCGGAATAACTGGGACTACAGACGCCTGCCACCACGCCTGGCTAATTTTTGTATTTTTAGTAGAGGTGGGGTTTCACCATGTTGGCCAGACTGGCCTCAAACTCTGGACCTCAAATGATCCACTCACCTCGGCCTCCCAAAGTGCTGGGATTATAGGCATGAGGCACCGTGTCCAGCCAGCTTTGTATTCTTAATGTATTAAATACAACATTCTTTTAGGGTTTTGAAATTATTTGTTACTCAGTGTGTGTGTACTCAATTTACAGTTGGACACGAACCTGAACATTGGTCTGTCTATAGAAGATACCTTGAATTCTATGTACTTGAATCAAAACTAACAGAATTTCATGGTATGTTATTCTTTTTGGATAAAACATTACATTTCAGCATTAGCATTCTTTAAAGCTGTGATACCAGATTAATTTTTTTATTTTAAGTAATTGAAATACAAGAAATACAACATTGACGCTTGTGTACACTTTTATTGATAACGGAAATGTACTGTTTATCTTCTTATTTTTATTTATCTGTATATTTAAAGTTCTTGCAATGCACATTTATGCTTTTTTTAAAAGTAAAATCAAAATTTTAAAATGGCTATTTTAAAACTATATTTTAGAAAGGGCTATTTACTCTTTTTGTTCTTCCTGTCTCATCAATGTATTTATTTTAGTTAATATCAGGGATATCGTTACAAAGAATTTCCAGCTTTTTTTTTTCCTTGTATGTAGCTTGGTGAATTTTATTTGTGTGTTCTAAATTTTTTTATTTTAGAAAAGCTCTGTAGAGTGTCCCCTGATGCAAATTCAGGTTGGTTTTTAATTGAGAAGGGTAAGGAACATTCCTTTCTCTGATGTAAGAGCAAAGCCTGTGATAAGGGTGATTATTATAGGAAGATAAAGAATACAAGGTCCCACTCCATATTTTTGCCTAGATTTTGAGTTTCTACTTGTGTTCAAATGGTTTTATCTTTCTCTCTACCAATCTGGTGCAGGACCATCGTCATTCTTTCTCTGAAAACTACTTTTTTTGTTTAAGGCTGAGAGAAGACAATTTATCTCCATACTTTTCTTTTTTGATACTAAAATTTCTAAAGCCAGCCCTATCTGAGAAAGCACATTCTCCTTCCTTCCTTCCTTCCTTCCTTCCTTCCTTCCTTCCTTCCTTCCTTCCTTCCTTCCTTCCTTCCTTCCTTCCCTCCTTCCTTCCTTCCTTCCCTCCCTCCCTCGTTTTCTTCCTTCCTTCATTTCCTCATTTCCGTCTTGTTGCTCAGGCTGGAGTGCAATGGCACGATCTTGGCTCACTGCAACCTCTGCCTCCTGGGTTCAAATGATTCTCATGCCTCAGACTTCTGAGTAGCTGGGATTACAGGCATGTGCCACCACGCCCAGCTAATTTTGTATTTTTAGTAGAGATAGGGTTTCACCATGTTGGTGGCCTTTTCTTTTTTTCTTTTGAGATGAGTCTGGCTCTGTCACCCAGGCTGGAGCGCAGTGGTGCGCTCTCAACTCACAGCAACCTCCGCCTTCCAGGTTCCAGTGATTCCCCTGCCTCAGCATCCCAAGTAGCTGGGATTACGGGCATTTCCCACCACGCCTGGCTAATTTTTTTTGTATTTTTAATAGAGATGGGGTTTTACCACGTTGGTCTCAAACTTCTGACCTCAAGTGATCTGCTCACCTTGGCCTCCCAAAATGCTGGGATTACAGATGTGAACCACTGTACCCAGCCTACATTTTGATTTTAAGCCATTTATATAGCATTGACAAAATGCTATCTTTTTTCCCTATGAGAAATTAGTTATTTCTTTAGTAAGGTTTTGTCTAATAGAATCTCACCAATTTCAAAACAATCTCATAATAATTTTTTGAAGCTGTTTTACTAGGATAGAAAGCTAAAAAATCTACGTCAAACAGTGATTGTTACAAGAGTGATATTTTTGTTTATCAGTAGACTCAAGTTCTTTGATCTGGACTTCTGACTTGAAGCTCTCTGGTTTTGTGAAGATTATTCAAAGAATAATGTCATATCTCTACAAGGCAGTATTGCTAATCTGAATGTGCCATAGTAAATTTTAAATCCTAATTTAAGGTTTTAAAAATAGTAGCAGAACACAGTAATAACTATAATATATGCTAATTTCAGGTACATTTCCTGATGCCCAGCTTCCTTCTAAGAGGATCATTGGCCCCAAAAATTATGAATTCTTGAAGTCTAAGCGGGAAGAGTTTCAAGAATATCTACAGGTATAGCATCAACTGTATTAATTCCAAACGTTGCTAATCATAGCATTCTCTAATTTGTCTCTTTTTCTCTTGTACATATGTGCTTCGGTTTATAAATACCTGTCCATGTGGATTTTAATTTAAAAAACATTTTTCCATGTGAATTTTAGAACGAATTTTTGTCAAAAGTATATTCCTTCCCCCCTCTCCAAATTGAATGAAATACAAGATATTTTCTTAGGGTGAGAAAAATCTTTACTTAATTTTAGGCTAGTTAAAACTTTGTATAGGACATTAAAAAAAGAAACTTTTGGTGTAAAAGATTAGATGCATTTGAAGAATATTGGATAGTATTCTTAGAATATTTGTTACTGTTCTGTTTTCTGTTTGATTTTTGTGTTTAGCTTTTTCTGAACATTGGAGTCTTCTGTGTTATTCCTTAGTCCCTTTTCTTTTGGGTTCATAGATATTTTTCCAATTTCCTGGGATCAACTCTACCATTTGCTACGTGGAATCGAATTCCATTTTTCTCAGTGTGTGCACGTTACATTATGTTAAATGTATGGGTATATTATTTAAATACATGGTACAGTCATCATAAAAGTTACTTGAGACATCAGGCTCTCCAGGATTAATAACCATCTTTCTTCTAGTGCTTACAAGGGAGGATACTTTTATTTATTCAAAAAATATTTTATTTGGGCATGGAATTTTATATTTTAAAAAAATTGTCGATTCAGTTAAATTTGGATGCTTCCTAGCTGAAAAGAAATACTTTAAAATTAAAAATACTCAGCAGTGTCAAGGAGTATTTACACTTTATTTCCTCTCTCTGAACTGTTGAATGCTTTCAACTCCAAGTTGAAAAATATATATATATGTGTATATATATATATTCTACGTAAATTTTTGGTGATGTGAATATTGAAATATGAAATAATTAGCTACTGCAAGGATGTGTTTGGATAAAACATAAAGCCATGTTTTTGCTGATACTGTTAACTCTTTATTTGAACCAGCTAATTATTTCTACAAACTAGAGTACCTCACTCTAGAAGAAATATTTTCTCGTAATATGGATTTAAATTAGAGATAGCTGTACTGGTTTTTTAATGTAGATTTCTGCTTATAAAGTTTTGTAACTGTCTCATAGTTAGGAAACTATTAGGTAATTTTGGGTTAATTTTGGCTTTTAAAGGTCTTTTTTTTTTTTGAGACGGGGTTTTGCTCTTGTCATCCAGGCTGGAGTGCAACAGTGCGATCTCGGCTCATTGCAACCTCCGCCTCCTGAGTTCAACCGATTATCCTTCCTCGGCCTCCCAAGTAGCTGGGATTACAGGCCCCCACCGCCACTCCTGGCTAATTTTTGTGTTTTTAGTACAGACGGGATTTCGCCGTGTTGGCTAGGCTGGTCTCGAACTCCTGACCTCAGGTGATCCACCTGTCTCAGACTCCCAAAGTGCTGGGATTACAGGAGTGAGCCACTGTGCCCGGCCCGTGTTATCTTATTAGAAAATAGTGTTGCAGGAAGAACAGACAACAGATTTTTCAAGTTATTTCACATTTCCACATCTAGTTTTCTGCAAAACCCTTTATGCCGACTTCTAAAAATTTATCGAGACAATTGTATCATACTATCATATTTTTCTATAGTTTAGAAACTGGGAAATAATAGTAGCTGATGTTTAGTTTTACTTCCTGTGTGTCAGATACTGTGCTAAATGCTTTATATAACAATACAATAAAGTCGGTAGTGTCATTATTTCCATTTTGTAAGTTAGGAAACTGACTCTTGGGCACTTTAGGAACTTTTCTGGTGTCACTTAGGTGTTTTCCAAGTGTTTAGGATTTAGGTGTTTTCCAAGAATCTAGCATGTGGAAGAGCCAGAATTCGAACCCATTCATATCTGACTATAAAGGCCAAGGTCTTACCTACTATCCTATACTCTTCCCTCTAAAAATGCAGTTGCTTTGTTATTTTAAATATAAAGTAGCTTTTGGGGATTTAAAATTAAAAAAAAAATTAAAATACAGTTTTGATTACTCTTCTAGATTTCTAAACTGTTTTTTCCCTTTTTTTTTTGTTCATTCAAGAAACTTCTGCAGCATCCAGAACTAAGTAATAGTCAACTTCTGGCAGACTTTCTTTCCCCTAATGGTGGGGAAACACAATTTCTTGATAAGATACTACCAGATGTAAATCTTGGTAAGTCAATTTAAGGAATCATTATAAGAGAATAAGCTGAAAAGAATCAGCATTTTCAGATTAATTTAGAAAAATATTTATATACTATAGCCTATGGTAAACTCCGAGGGCCCTTATTTCTGCATTTAGAGAGAAATTGTCAGATGCTGACCTTAATCTGTCCATTTGGAGTTCTGATTATTTAAGCAGTCACTTCTACCCATTTGTCCTCATCACAGAAAATTATATTAGTCAATGTATTTATAAATTTTTTTTCTTAAATTTAAATATAAGAAAAGTAGAGATGGTATTTTTAGCATAGGTGAATCAGTGTTTTCATCGTACAGTATATGAATAGCTGTGGTATTTGAAATTTCTCATTAAATATCTCAAAAAGACTAGATCTGTTCACATTTAACTTGGTTTAAGACTGTTGCATTTTTCCACATCTTTAGGTTATATCATGCTCTTCCTTTTTTGTATTATAAAGCATTATAAATATTCCTTAAAACCTAATTTTTGGGTCACTTGTAGTAGTGATTTAGGTAAGTAAACTTTGTATAAACTGACTTTCAGTTAACTTGAATTAATCTTAATGTCATTCTGAGCAAATTTCATTTCATGGTACTTCTGTACATGAATTTTATTTAAAGTTTAAATGTTGGCTATAAAACTGGCATGGAATGTACACATGAGATTGTGGTAACATTTCTGCTTTGAATGTCGTTGTTAATTTGTTTTGAAGTTTTCATTAGTAACTTAGAAAAATAATTTAGGTTTTTAATCTTTAATTTCAAAGTAACTTTATAATTAGTAAAACCATTTTGCAGTTAGTAATTGCCTTATTTCTACTAGTACTATTGTAAAGGAAATTAAGATGTGTCAGAAAGCTTATATTTGCTCTATTTTTTAAAATACTAATTTTTATTATGACAGATATAGAATCTGTAGTCAAAGCACAGTCTGCTAGGTTACTGAAGACATTATTATGTTTTTACTACTAGAGATGGAAGTTAGTATTTCCTGAAGATAATGTTTCAGGAAGTGTTTTTGTGTTGTAATACTCGAGCACTTAATTTCAGCTATCACTTTTGGATGAATTATTTATTATAGTTTGTCTAAATAGCAACGAGTTCAACAGAAATCCAGACAGATCATCTTCTCTAACCACTAATATAGTACATACGTTATAAGTACATGTATAAAAAATAGAAATATAAAAAAAGGATTCAATTAAATGTAGTCTGAAATTTTCCAAAGAATCATCTCATAAACCCCTGGCATGCCTCCATTCTGTTTTAAAAACTGTTCCTTAATTACTATTCCACCTGCTGGTTATCAGTGATTGGATTTTTTTTTTTTTTTTTTTTTTTCTGTGGTGGAGTCTTGCTCTGTCACCCAGGCTGGAGTGCAGTGGTGTGATTTTGGCTCACTGCAGCCTCCACCTCTCAGGTTCAAGCGATTCTCCTGCCTCAGCCTCCCAAGTAACTGAGATTACAGGTGCCCACCACCACACCTAGCTAATTTTTTGTAGTTTTAGTAGAGACGGAGTTTCACCACATTGGCCAGACTGGTCTCAAACCCCTGACCTCAGGTGATCCATCTGCCTTGGCCTCCCAAAGTGCTGAGATTACAGGCGTGAGTGAGCCACCATGCCCGGCCAGTGATCTCGTTGTTAACAGAGACATCTTCTCACTCCTCAGTCTTCTTGACCTCCTTTGCAGCATTCTTTCCTTTAGAAATTCTTTGCCTTTGGCGTTCATTATTGCATATTATTCTCTTAACTGTTTCAGTCCCATCACTACATTTCCGTTCTACACAATCCTCCCTTATCTCTATACACGTAAATATAGGTGTTTTCCAAGCTCTGTCCTCAACTTTCCTCTTGCCAGTCTCCACAGAACCTATTATTTTAATTTTTACCTATATGTAAATGTTTATTTTTCATTCTTTTTTTTTTTTTTGAAACAGAGTCTTGAAATGTCATCCAGGCTGGAGTGCAGCGGCGCCATCGTGGCTCACTGCAACCTCTGCCTCCTGGGTTCAAGCAATTCTCCTGCCTCAGCCTCCCTAGTAGCTGGGACTACAGGCGCACACCACCACGCCCAGCTAATTTTTATATTTTTAGTAGAGACGGGGTTTCGCCATGTTGGCCAGAATGGTCTTGATCTCTTGATCTCGTGATCTGCCCACCTAAATGTAGTCTGACCTTTAGTTATACCTTTCTGATACCCAGTTGAATGTCACCATCTGATCTCCTATCATCTTTTCAGAACCAATGTGTAATTTTGTTAATGATGCTACAGTCATTTCAGTCATGCTTGAATTTTTACCGTTACCTCTTGGATTTTCTCTCCCATGCTCTCACTACACATCTTTTTTTTTGGAGATGGAGTCTCTGTCTGTCACCCAGGTTGGAGTGTGGTGGTGTGATCTCAGCTCACGCAACTTCTGCCTCCTGGGCTCAGGCATTCCTCCCACCTCAGTCTCCTGAGAACTATAGGTGCGCACCACCATACCCAGATAATTTTTGTATTTTTAGTAGAGATGGGGTTTCACCATTTTGCTCACGCTGGTCTTGAACTTCTGAGTTCAAGTGATCTACCTGCCTCAGCCTCCCAAAGTGCTGGGATTACAGGTGTGAGTCACCATGCCCTGCCTTACATATCTTTTTAGTTCCCAGATTCTGTAAGTTTTTCCTATTTGGTGTCTAACTCATGTCTTCCTCTTCATTCCCTTTACTCTGTCCTTAGTTCAGTTTTCATTGCCTCTTATTTGAACTGTACTAAGTTTCCTATCTAGTCTCCTGGATTCCCATCCTCCTCCTGCCCTCTATCAGTTTATCGTATATAACACAGCCAGATTAATCTTCCTAAAGTACATGTTTGACCATATCTAAAATCCTTTGGTTTTTCTCTCTTTATTAACTTAGGAAATCTTTATTGTTTAATATGGAACCCTCTGAAAATCACTATGTGCTTTGATACCAATATATCTTACCAGTATTATTTCTTACTACTTCCTTTCATACTTTAATAAAATTGAATCCCCTATATTCTTTTGCTCCAGTGCCTTTATTTATACTCTTGTCTTCTACTTTAAATGCTCTTCCATATTACCCATCTTTGAAGATCCAGCTGAGAGAAAGGAATGGCTGGTTCTTCATAGGGAAACAGGGAAGCCTTTCTTAGGAAGGTATAATTTGTCTAATCTTGAAAGAGTAATATAAATCAGCAGGAGATAGATGAGGAGATCATTCCACTTGGAGAGACGGGCATGTACAAGAAGCATGAAAGAGGGAATCAGCTGGTAATGTTTGGAGTATCTTGAACATAGAGTACATGTAAGAGAGTGAGACTAGAAAGATAAGTTATGGCCACATGTGTCATGGTAAGGAATTTGTACTTGATCATCTAGGCAGGGAGAAAGAGATATTGATAGATTTTAAACAATGAAATCTAATCGGATTTAGGTTTCAGAAATCCAACTCTGGCAGCAGTTTGAAGGATGATACTAAAGGTACTTAGAATCGTATCTGGGAATAAACCTAGTAGAGTATGTGTGTGCATGACCATTATAGAGAAAATTGCAAACTTTTATTGAGAGATGTTAAAGAAGACCCAAGAAAATAGAAATCATATTCATTGTTTAGAAACCACAATATTGTAAAGATGTAAATTTTTCCCCAAGTTGATTTCTAGCTATAATATAGTCCCAATCAAAATCAAACAAGTTGCATATGTGTATATACCTTGAAACTGAATCTATAATTTATATAAACATGCATAGGACCAAGTAGATAACACATTTTAGAAGAAGAACAAGGTTGGAGAGCTCTATCATATGTCTTGACTTATAACACTAAATTAATCAGTAGACCCTGGAACAGAACAGAGAACCCCAAACCTATCTGTACATCTGTGGACACTTGATTTGTGAGCATGGCTCTGCATAATGGGGAAGCAATCAACTTTTCAAGAAATGCTACTGGGACATTGGGTATACATTTGAACTCTTACGAAGTAGCCATATTTAAGTAGACTAGAGTCCTATATAGAAACCCGTAAAGATACTAGAAGATTGCAGAGATAAATTCATATATTTACAATCAACTAAATTTGACAGAGGTGTCAAGACATGGGGGAATGGATACCCTTTTCAGTAAATAGTGCTGGGAAAACTGGATATCCATATGCAGAAGAATGAAACTAGACGCCTATCAATCATAATTAAAAAATCAAACTCATAGTGGATTAGACTTAAATGTAAGACCCCAGATTATAAAACTGCTAGAAGAAAATGAGGGGAGGATGCTTCACGACTTTAGGCAAAGATCTTATGGCTAAGAGTTCAAAAGCATAGGTAGCAAAACAAAAATAGACAAATGGGGCTAGATTAAACTATTAGGTTGGTGCAAAAGTAATTGTGGCTTTTGCCTTTTTTTTTTCTTTTAAACAGCAAAAATCTCACTTTTGCACCAACCTAATAAAAAGCTTCTACACAGCAAAGGAAACAAGCAGCAGAGTAAAGAGACAACTGTAGAATGGGAGGAAATATTTATGGATATTTTACCTGTATGTTTTGCGACTATTTAGCCTGTACAATGGGAGAAAATATTTGCAAATATTGCAAATTCAATTAGAAGACGATACAGTAGAAAAATGGACAGAAGAAAAATAATTTCACCAGCCTGGGCAACGTAAGTGAGACCCTGACTCTACAAAAAACAACAAAAAATTAGCTGGGTATGGTGGCAAGCATGTGTAGTCCTGGTTGTTCCAGAAACTGAGGCGGGAGGATCACTTGAGCCCAGAAAGTTCGAGGTTACAGTGAGCTATGAGCACACCACTGCTCTGCAGCCTGGGTGACAGAGTGAGACCCTTTCTCTAAAAACAAAAGAAAAAACACTTCACAAAAGAGGAAATCAGATGGTCAATAAATATATAGAAAGATGCCTAATTTCATTAATAGGGAAATTCAAATTAGAATCATATTTGGGAAACACCACATTCACCAAAGTTTTTAAAAGTCTGATTATACTAAGTGCTAAGTATTGGTGCAGATGTAAAGCAACAGGAACTCTTATACACTGTTAGTAGGACTATAAATTGAAAAACTACTTGGAAAAATTGTTTGGTATAAAAACTGAAGGACCCAGCGGTTCCTTTCCCAGATATATACTTTGGAGAATCTATCCATGTTTAAGAACGTTCGTAGTAGAATTGTTTGTATAGCCCAAACTAGAAACAGCACAAATGCTCATCAGCAATTGAATGGACAGGTAAACTGTGGTAAAGTCATAACATTGAATACCCATATCATGAGGCTACTAGCAACAATGTAGATGAACTTTTAAAAATGTTGAATGAAAGAACCAAAACATGAAAGAATACGTAGAGCCTGATTCTTTTTACATAAACATCAAAACAGACCAAACTAATATAAGCTGGACAAATCTGAATAAAACTGTTAAAAAAATGGTTGGGCGTGGTGGCTCACACCTGTAGTCCCAGCACTTTGGGAGGCTGAGAGGGGTGAATCACCTGAGGTCAGGAGTTTTAGACCAGCCTGACCAATATGGTGAAACCCTGTCTGTACTAAAAAGGCAAAAATTAGCTGGGCATGGTGGCGGGCGCCTGTAGTCCCAGCTACTTAGGAGACTGAGGCAGGAGAATTGTTTGAACCCAGGAGGTGGAGGTTGCAGTGAGCCGAGATCGCACCACTGCACTCCAGCCTGGGCAACAGAGCAAAACAAAAAACAAAAACAAAAAAAGTTAAAAAATAATATAGCATTGGCTAGGTGCAGTAGCTCACACCTGTAATCCCAGCACTTTAGGAGGCCGAGGTGGGTGGATCACTTGAGGTCAGGAGTTCAAGACCAGCCTGGCCAACATGGTGAAGCCTTGTCTCTACTAAAAATACAAAAATTGGCTGGGCTTGGTGGCGTGCACCTATAATCCCAGCTACTTGGGTGGTCTAGGCAGGAAAACTGCTTGAAACTGGCAAGTGGAGGGAGCCGAGATCATGCCACTTGCACTCCAGCCTGGGTGACAGAGTGAGACTACGTCTCTAATACTACTGCTACTATTACTGCTACAGTATAAAAACAATATTTCTAAATATATTTTATTTTTTGTTCATTATGTTTTTTTGAGACAGAGTCGCACACTGTTGCCCAGGCTGGAGTGCAGTGGCACAATCATAGTTCACTGCAACCTCAAATCCTGGGCTCAAGTGATCCTTCCTGCCTCAGGCTCCCAAAGTAGCTAAGACTACAGGTACACACCAGCACACCAGGCTAATTTTTAAATATCTGTAGAGGTGGGATCTTGCTATGTTGCCCAAGCTGATCTTGAACTCCTCTCCTCAATTGATCCTCCCACCTTGGGTTCCCCAATTGCTGGGCTTACAGGCATGGAGCCACTTTGCCTAGCCTCTAAATATATTTTATATGATGTAATCTGAAGTAATGTATGTGGAACTAAATCAGTGAATTAAATAGTGCAGGGGGACATTTGGCTTCTGTCTATACCCACCCCCCCCCCCCCACCCAAATCAATACATTTATTTAAGTCAAAATATTTAGTGTGTGTGTATCTTTTTATTAGGGGAAAAAAGTGAGGACAAAATATTTGGTTATATATGGTGTCTAGGAGATTTGGATATTCCTGATTACTGACTAGGTTTGATTGAAGAAGAAATGATCAAGGATGATCCAAGTTTCTATTTAAATAACTGGATGAATGCTGTTACTTGTTGGAATAGGGGCTACATTAACATTAGCTTTGAACTTACTGAGTTTGTAGAATCCAGTTGAAGTTTTATAAAGTAGGAGAGTCCAGGAGACAGGCAGGGATTAAAGATTTGAATTTTATTTGAAATCAGATTGAGCAAATAATTTGGCTCAGTAAGAACACATAGAAGACAAAAAAGCATAGGATGAAATCATATAATTTAAGGAACTTGGGAACATTCTAAGGAGGAGGTGTTATGAGAACCAGAAATACTAGAAATAGCCAAGTGGGAAGGTTGGGTGGTTTGCCTGTCACAAAACAGTATTTTTATTCTTTATTATTAATGTCCCTTTCTGTTGCCATAAATCTACTTTTTTCCAATTTATTTGGAAAGCAGTTTAAGTTGTATTTATCAGTTTTGATTGATTTTTAACAGTCATTTCTAAATGCTGGAGAAAATCTCAAGATATTTGATGTTTTACAGTAAGGGAACCTGGAGATCAAGAAGTAATTTTGGCAAATATAGGATTTAGAATAGAAATTCTTAATCTAAAATTCAGAATATAAATTACTGAAATAGTTTTAAATATTGAGGCAATTCTTAAAACTTTTTTTGACTGGCCTTTGCATATCTTTAGATACCATTATATATTCACTGTTACTGAAAATCCTTTGAAAATATTTCTTATGGAAATTTTCACAAAAGTAGACAAAATTATGTAATAAACTTCTCACTCAATTTTATTATCAACCCTTGGCTTATTCCATCCCTTCTCCCACCACCTACCTCACTGGATCATTTTAGAGTAAATCCCAAATATTGTATCTATAAATATTTCAGAATACTGTATTTATTGAAATTTCCATAGAGTGTGAAATGGTCAATCATAAATACTTTTTATAGTTTTAATTTGGCTATTTCGTATTTAAAATTACCTGGTAAAGTATTCATATGAGCAATTATGAAGAGTTTTATGCCTTCCTAAAATAATGTTTTACTTTTAATTGCAGGGAAAATTATAAAATCTGTTCCTGGAAAACTAATGAAAGAGGTGAATAACTGATTTATGTGTGTTCTATAACATAATCATAAACATATTTAAATATTGATAAATTTTGATGGATTATATACTAAAAATTATTTTTTATTTTCTTACAATAATCTGTCACCACAGAAAGGTCAGCATTTGGAACCTTTTATCATGAATTTTATTAATTCATGTGAATCTCCAAAGCCTAAACCAAGTAGACCAGAACTGACCATTCTCAGCCCTACTTCAGAAAACAACAAGAAGGTACTGCACATTGCATTAAAGAACCATTAAGTTTTAAATTGCCCTACTAGAGATGACTTTTTCATTATCAGGAGAATGAATACTTTGTTAATGAAATAGATTGAGCTATACATTTCCTTTATGTGGAAATCAGTTGCACAGTAAACAGAGGGTATTGTGTATACTTACTTGGTTCTTTGCTTTAATATGGTAAATGTTTCTTTGGATACTGTATTTGCAAACTTATGCTACTTCTGTGTTTGGGGATTTTTAAAAGTGGTTTTCTTAGGTTATATGTCACCAACTTTCAATAATAATAAATTAATTGCTATACTGTGTTTATGTTTATTGGATGGCATTACCTAATTTTCATGGCTTATAAAGTATTTTATCCATTCATTAAACAAACATTTTATTACATGCCTACTATTGAGTGCTAGGCACTGGGAATATAAAGATACATTCCTTGTCCTCAAGAAGCTGTTTCATGCCAAGGTGTAGTGCCAGTATGGGGAGCTATGGGAGCTCAGAGGACCTCCATCCTTATTTTTGTTGATACTTTGAATAGTATCTTTAATATTATTAATATTTTCATTTTTATAACTTTCTTGTATATATAGATGGAAATATTTTTATTTCGTAATCTTGCTAGACTTAACATTAGTTTTAGTAATATCTGGTAATTCTTTTATATTTACACAATTGTCACAAATGATTGCAGTTTTGTTTGATTCCTGACTAGGACTGCTCTATACAAAGGAAATTGTTTAATTATTTCACCATTGAATAGTATAGTGTAGCTCTTTTTGTATTAATAGATAACCTTTATAAGATTAAGGAAGCTACCGGGTGCTGTGGCTCACACCTGTAATCCTAGCACTTTGGGAGCTGAGGTGGATGGATCACTTGAGGTCAGGAGTTCGAGACCAGCCTGGCCACCATGGTGAAACCCTGCCTCTACTGAAAATACAAAAATTAGCCAGATGTGGTGGTGGGTGCCTGTAATCCTAGCTACTCGGGAGGCTGAGGTAGGAGAGTCGCTTGAACCCAGGAGGTGGAGGTTACAGTGGGCCGAGATCGCACCACTGCACTCCAGTCTGGGCGACAGAGCAAGACTGTCTCAAAAAAAAAAAAAAAAAAAAAAAAAATTCAGGAAATTTACATTCATGTTTATGGGTAGAAATAGCCTATAATTTTTCTTTCTCATTCTCTCCTTGTTAGGTTTTGGTATCAAAGTTTTATTAGCGTTTTTTATTTTTGGTAGACTTTTTATAAATATTTGATAAGAGTTGGTAAAGTCATCTAGGCCTGCAGTTTTGTTTGTAGGAAAATTTTTTATAACCAATTTAATTTCTTTAACAATTATAAAATTCTTCAGGTTTATTATTTCATGAGTCAGTTTCAATAGGTTATAGTTTTTGACAAATTTTGTACTTTAAGTTTGTAAGGTTATTGGTGTGAAGTTGTCAATAATTTTGTCTTGTCATTGTTTCTGACATCTATAGCTATGTCTCTTTGTTCTCGACATTTTATCTTTTGGCTTTATTGAGCTTTTCTGTCAGACTTTTAAAATTACCTTTATTTCTGTTATTTTGAAACATTCTTTGTATTTCTTTGGGCTTTTGTTTGTATTACAGTTTTAACTTCTTGTGGTGAAACTAATGCTTAACTTAGCCTTTCTTTTCTAATGTAAGCACTAAAATGTGTACATTTTTCTTTAAATCTGTTTGAACACTGACTTGTAAATTTTAATGTGTGGTATTTTTGTTATTCAGTTCAGAATGTTTTATTATGATCCCTTCTTTGACCTCTGGGTTATTTATAATTTTTTTTTTTTTTTTAGTTTACAAACATTCTTGAATTTTCAGATTGTTCCTTTATTGTTGTTATTGATCCTAGTTTAATTACATTGTGGTCAAAGAATACATTCCATGTGATGTAAGTTTCCATTTCCAAGAACAGCGACCTCATTGCTTTCTGATTCGACTAACAGCTTGTCATTTTTTCCAAGTTTTACTACAGACTCCTGCCATTTATCCAGCCTCCACCTACTCCTAGCTTCCAAAGCTAATACCATGTATTTTAGGTTTATGTTATGGCAACACACTACTTTTAGGTACAAATCACTTAAACATTGTTTTAAACAAACCACTCCAAAAGTGAATGGTTTAAAACGACTCTCTTATTTGCTCATGATTCTGTGGGTCAGCAGTTTGGACTTAGCTTAGCTGCATTGTACTTCTGGTCTCACTTGGGCTGCAGTCTTAGAGCTTCTTGAATTGGATGGCCAAAGGTGGCCTCATTCACATGTCTGACTGTGTATGTTTCCTGTTGGCTGGGCAATGTGTCTTCAGCAAGCAATTCTGGGCTCTCATGGTACCAGCATTCTAAGAGGGCTCACGCCAACACACAACTTTCCAGGACTCCGTTGAACATTTTGCTCAACATTTGTCCCAAAGCAACTCATGTAGCCAAGCCCAGAGTTGATGTGGGAGGGGACTGTATCAGAGTTTGGCTATAGAGAAGCTTGATCACTGGGGGCTGTTACTTTAACAGTCTACTTCAGTTTACCAGTTTTGAAAAATTCTCAGCTATTGTTCTTTAGATATTGCCTTCTCTCTATTCCCTCTCTTATCTCCTTCTGTTTTAGTTGTTCTGTTTTCATTTAGTTATCATTCTGTTTTCCATATCTCTTAAGCCTTCCTCCATATTTTCTGTCTTCATTTTCACTACTTTTTGGTGGTCTATGTTAACTTTTTCTGATCTGTCTTCCATCTCTGCCTCTTCAATGTTGTCTGATCTTCTGCATAAACATATCTAAACCTAAAAAAAATTGTTACTGTGTTTCGTATTTTTAGAATTTGTTTGATATTCCCCCCAGGTCTACTATGATTTTAAATAATGGTTTACTATTAGCTGCAGATGTTTTCCAGCAAAACAGATTCATTGCATTATAAAACCCTGGTTGGTACTTAAGATTCTTGAATAGTAAATGCACACGCAGATCGGGAAGAGCAGGAGAAGATAACCTATCTAGTGCTCTGAGGAATATAGTGGCTGAAAACTTGGCTTACGTTGATTTTGTTTGTGGTTTGTCAATATTAATGCCCATTTTGCTTTCCTTGATCGTTACGTTTATCTTTATTGGCATGAAAATTCAATTAAATGTCATTATAAAATAAAAATGTTAAAATGTTAAAGAGGAGAAATTGAGATATGAGCCCTAATTCTTTCCTCTCCTCTGCTCAGGCATCTTAAGTGTCTCTTAGAGAAAGTCTTCAGCCCTCCTCAGTAATAGCTCTGTCTCCTAAGAAACAGACATAGTGTAGTTCATCAGTCTTAGTAATATTTGTCTTCTCCCTCAGGATTATTGAGATTGATATTCAAAACTGCTTGAAAAGATGTGAGAGATTCTTATGAAATTCTTTTTTAGGTGGCCTTCACTATATATGCATACTTTTGTGAAAGATGAAATACGAAAGACCTAATGGGTATGATTTCAGAGGATTAACCAGGCTGAACATAGGGAAAGAAGAATTATATTGGAGTGTGAATTTTAGTACATAGGGAATATGTTTGCAAAATGATTGATGAGTTTGGTCAAACTGGATATTTGCTTTCCTGGTGACTAATAAATGGGCCCAATCTTTTGGGAAATAAATCGATACTATGTAACAGAATAAATCAGGTGTTTATGTTCTTTGACCTCCTGACCTGAATGCTAGGAATTTGTCAGGGAGAAAAATAAGAGAAGAGCTTATAACATGTAAAGGTGTTTATTAAAATATCATTTATGTAAGTGAAAAATTGGAAACAACATGAAATTCTAACATTGTAGGAATGATTATTTTAAGGAAAATCCATTCAAGGAATGTTTTGCAACAGATGAAATTGTGCTTATGAAAACTATAAAGCAACATAAAGACATTTGATACGATGCTAAATGAAAAAGTAGGATGTGCTATTTTTTGAACCTCATTGATTTGTGGCTATGTACATAGAGAGTACAAGTTAATATATAAAAGTTTAATAGTAATGCTATTAGGTGGTTGAGTTTTAATTTAAAGGTTTAAATGCCTCTTTGCTCTGTGTCACTTTATTTAACCTTAGTGATTATTGTCAACAGATGTAATAAACTATATATCTTTTTATTATTCCAACTTTTATTTTAGATTTCTGTTTAAAAATAATGCAAACCGTGCTGAAAATACAGAGGGAAAACAAAATTGAGTTGTTTTTCTCCTCTCTTTTCCAGACTTACTGTATAATATCACTGTTTTTCAATGAAAAAAATTAAACTGAAAAAAGAGTAGAGGGAATAATTTATCAGAAGAGAGAGCCCTTTTCCTATTTTTTGGGTTGTGGAAAAATGTTTTAAGTTTACGCCTCAGCGTTAATAATATCTGACATAAGAGCCAATAGAATATATGGTCTTTGTTCTCAGGATACTTTTCTAGGAGGCTTTTAAAAAAATTCATCTTAAGTGTATTCAGTGAATACACTTTCCTCCACAGTCTCCTTACCTCTCCTCTCCCCTCCCTTCTGCTCCCCTCCCCACTTTTTTTTTTTTTTTCACAGAGCCTCACTCTGTCACCCAGGCTGGAGTGCAGTGGTGCAATTTCTGGCTCACTGCAACCATTAATTCTTAATATCTTGGTTCCCCCGCTGCCACACATTGATTAGACCTTTCTGGGCTTTGAATATTGTCCAGATAAATTTCATCTGAAGCTGGATTTTTACCTCTACTCATAGTGATTTATAATCTTTAAATCATGTTAGTGGTTTTTTTTGTTTTGTTTTTGTTTTTGTTTTTGTTTTTTTGACAGTCTTGCTCTATCACCCAGGCTGGAGTGCAGTGGCATGATTTTGGCTCACTGTAACCTCTGCTTCCCAGGTTCAAGCTATTCTCCTGCCTCAGCCTCCCAAGTAGCTGGGACTACAGACACGCACCACTACACCTGGCTAATTTTTTTGTATTTTTAGTAGAGATGAGGTTTCACTATGTTGGCCAGGCCGATCTCAAACTCATGACCTCAGGTGATCTGCCTGCCTCGGCCTTCCAAAGTGCTGAGATTATAGATGTGAGCCACTGTGCCTGGCCTAAATCATTAGTTTTAAAGTTAGCTATCAATAATATATTTGTACATCTTTTTATGTTAACTTTTGTGGTATATAAAAACAAAGGAGGGGTCTTTTATGGATGATGAATTACGGACTGTAACTAAAATGAATATTTTAGTTTTTATGTAATATTTTTGGGGAACATGTATTTTTTATTGCAATTTGGGGCATAAATGGGGAATTTTAGAAACATATATTAACCTATCTAATATTCTGTTTTGATTGGAAAAGGTTTAAATGCCTTTGCTGTGTGTCACTTCATCCTTATTGATTATTGTCAGCAGATGTAATAAACTACATATCTTTTTATTATTCCAACTTTTATTTTAGCTTTTCAATGATCTGTTTAAAAATAATGCAAACCGTGCTGAAAATACAGAGAGAAAGCAAAATCAGAATTATTTTATGGAGGTGATGACTGTAGAAGGAGTCTATGATTACCTGATGTATGTAGGTAAGATCTAAGTGGTTTAAGACTTGTTTTTCATTCATCTTACTTCTGTGATGCAAATAATGTTCTTGAGTATTGCCCCGTCATAACTGTTTTTTTAATTGAAGATACCTTTCATAATAATTCAATACAATTGTCCTTGATCATATTAAAGTTGCTAGTGTTTACAAATAAAAGATAGACCGTGGTCATCTGTGTTTTCTACATTGGCAAATTTTCAAAAATACCAATTTATCTGGAACAATGAGGTATCCCATTTGATCCTTTCTCAGGACGGGTAGTTTTCCAGGTTCCTGACTGGCTTCATCATCTCTTAATGGGAACTCGAATCCTCTTTAAAAACACCCTGGAAATGTATACTGACTACTATCTTCAGTGTAAACTAGAACAGCTATTTCAGGAGCACCGTTTGGTCTCACTCATAACACTTCTCAGAGGTTTGTATTTTCTCATGTGTTTGTTTCATATTTTGTGTACTCTGTAATTTTAATTGAATCTAAAAGGGGAAGAAATCTTGTTTTGCTTTGGTTTATTAGTACTTCTACTATGAGGAAATCCTTTTTGTATAAGTAGATGAAAATTCCAGAAATACTTCTTTTTACTCTTTTTTAGATGCTATATTCTGTGAAAACACTGAACCTCGTTCTCTCCAAGATAAGCAAAAAGGAGCAAAACAGACTTTTGAAGAAATGATGAATTACATTCCAGGTGTAATATTTAAGAAGTAACTTAATTTCATATAGATAAGCCGTCTTTTGAGGTCACAATGTATAGTAATTATTGAAGTTAATTTTTACTGTGAGTTTTCATTTTACAAATAGTTGCAAAGATCAGTTAAAATTAACACACTAGTTAAATAATTCTTTCAGATGTTATCACTGAGACTGAGATGTTAGGACTTTAAGGCAAGGCTGTTGCTACTCACATAATAGCCAGATTCATTCAAAAATAACTTATAGTCAGACTGGTCAAAGTGACATGTTGTGGGACCATTGAAAGCCTGTGTCTACTACACCATAAGAATAGCTCACTAGTGTGTATGACTAAAAGATCAGAATTCATGTACTGTGAATTTATTGAGCACCTACCATATTCCAGGCATTATGCAAAATGCAAGGGATATAAAAAATGTACTTGAGTAGCTCAGTCTAGAGGAAGACAGGCATATAGACAAAACATACATGTGATAATAGAGGCATTTTCAAGTTACAGAGATACCACAAAGGAGGAGGATGGCCACCTCTTCTGTAAAGTTGGTAGGTTTGGGACACTAAGGAAATGAATGGTAGTAACCTCTTACTGTGATGGGAAATAACAAGGAAGAAATGTCAGGGGGTCAAAGCAGATGATTCTTAGTTTAGAACATTTTGAATGAGAGGTGCCTATAAATTACTCAGGAGGAAGTGTCTGTTAAGCACTTAGATTCGAGGTTCAAAAGTTGGAGAAAAGGTGGTATAGGATAGATTAGTAGAGATATGGGAGCCATGTGTGATTAGATAATAAAGCACAGGGAGAAAGTATGGAGTAAGAAGAGAAAAGGGTGATTTCCAGTTTCTGGTCTGGCACATAAGAACCTGGCCGTCATCACTCCATCCTAGTAACAAGCAAAAAGCTGAATGCACTAAAAAAACTAAACAGCGTTTAGATTCACCAGAGAGTGAGGTCATATGGCAAACCACTGCCCCCCAGATTGGAGAGAATCATAGCTAGCTGGAGCAGAGAAACCCGTGAACTCAAAACCCCTGGAGAAGCCAGTGCTGAGCTAGGGAAATTTGAAGTATAACTGACAAATTGCTACAGCCTTTTAAATCTCTTTTTAAGAGATTAAAAACTCCAGGGGATCACGTCATGGGATTACCCATCCACATTTTTTTTTTTTTTTTTTTTTTTTGTGATACGGAGTCCCGCTCTGTTGCCAAGGCTAGAGTGAAGTGGCATGATCTTGGCTCTCTGCAACCTCCGCCTCCTGGGTTCAAGCAATTCTCCTGTCTCAGCCTCCTGAGTAGCTGGGACTAGAGTCCCATGCCACCACGCCTAGCTAATTTTTGTATTTTTAGTAGAGATGGAGTTTCACCTTGTTGATCAGGCTGGTCTTGAACTCTAACCTCAGGTGATCCACCTGCCTCGGCCTTCCAAAGTGCTGGGATTACAGGCGTGAGCCACCGTGCCCAGCCCATCCACACTTTTTTTGTGAGTTTTACCTCCAGGGCCTTGACCAAGATCCCACAGTGAATATTGGAGAAAAATCCCCAGGTGCTTCTGGCAGGGGGGCTAGAAGGGAACCATTTTGAAATACATTAGTCAGGGCACTCTGTTCTTGACAAGGCCCTACCCTCAGGAGAAGCTATTTAACCAGAGCCTGACTGACCTGAGGGAAGGGAAATAACCAACTCTAGCCCTGGCCTTCCACATGGAAGAAGGGAAATACCCAACTCCAGTCCACTCTAGCCATCTTGTCCTATGCAAGGGGGACCGGGGGGCCTGAGAAGCATGTGTGAAGTTCACAGTTCAGTGGTACAGGTTCACTAAAAGATTGAGACCCCTTCTTAGGACTATAGAACCCTTCCTCTCCCTCTATATTTTATCACCACATTACTAAAGGCCTGTTTGCAGCAGTTCTGCTTAACTTGTGCATCATGTCCAGCTATCATAAAAAAGTTACAAGACATATTAAAGGCAAGAAAATACAGTTTGACGAGAAAGAGCAAGTATCAAAACCAGAGTCAGATATGGCAGTGATGTTAGAATTATATACCAAGTAGGATTTATCCCAGGTATTCAAGGCTGGTTTAGCATTCATTCAAAAGTCAATTAAGGTAGTCCATCACATCAGCAGGCTAAAGAAGAAAAATCATGATCATAACAGTAGATGCAGAAAAAGCATTTGACAAAATCTAACACCCACTTATGATATCAGCAAACTAGGAATAGAGGGGAACATCCTCAACTTGATAAAGAATATCTACAAAAACACCTATAGCTAACATCACACTTGATGAAAAACTTAAAAGCTATCTCACTAAGATGAGGAGCAAGGCATGCTCTCACTACTGCTTTTCAACATTGTACTGGAAGTCCTAGTTAGTGCAGTAAGACAAGAAAAGGAAATAAAGAGCATACTGATTGGGAAGAAAGAAATAAAACTATCTTTGTTCACAGATGACATGATTGTCTATGTAGAATATCCAAAAATTGACCAAAACACTTCTGCAAATAATAAGTAATAATACACAAAATTCAATTACTTTTCCTGTATATCATCAATGAGCAAATGGTATTTGAAATTAAAAAAAATACCATTTGCATTAGCACCCCGAAAAGTGAAATACTTGGGTAATAATCTAACAAAACATGCACAAGATTTATATGAGAAAAATTGTAAAACTTTAATTAAATCAAAGAACTAAATGGAGAGATACTTTATGTTTGTGGATAGGAAGACTCTTTTTTTCAAGATGTCGGTTCTTTGAACTTCATGTATAGATTCAATGCAGTCCCAATCCAAATCCCAGGAAGTTGTTTTGTGGGTATTAACAAACATTTTAAAGTTTATATGGAGAGGCAAAAAGACCCAGAATAGCCAACTCAATTTTGATTGAGAACAACAAAGTCACAGGATTGACACTACTTTTCTTCAAGACATACTATAAAGCTACAGTGATCAAGAAAGTGTGATATTAGCAAAAGAATAGACAAATGGATGGATGGAACTGAATAGAGAGCCCAGATATAGACCCACATAAATAATGTTAAATGATCTTTGACAAAGTTGCAAAGGCAATACAATGAAGAAAAGTAATGAAGAAAAGTTAGTCTTTTCAACAAATGGTGCTGGAACAACTGGACATCCACATGCAAGAAAAAAAAAAATCTAAACACAGACCTTACACCCTTCACAAAAACTAAACTCAAAATCAATTATAGGCCGGGCACGGTGGCTCACGCCTGTAATCCCAGCACTTTGGGAGTCTGAGGCGTGTGGATCACCAGAGGTCAGGAGTTCGAGACCAGTCTGGCCAGGATGGTGAAACCCCATCTCTACTAAAACTACAAAAATTAGCCAGGCATGGTGGCGGGCACCTGTAATCCCAGCCACTCAGGAAGCTCAGGCAGGAGAATTGCTTGAACTTGGGAGGCAGGGGTTGTAGTGAGCTGAGATAGCACCATTGCACTCCAGCCTGGGTGACAGCGTAACTCCGTCTCAAAAACAAACAAATCAATTTTAGACCTAACTGTAAAAAGCAAAACTGTAAAACTTAGAGGATAACAAGGGAGAAAATGTAGATGACCTTCTGTTTGGCAATGACTTCTTAGTTGCAACACCAAAGACATGAACCGTGGAAGAAATAATTGATAATCTTTACTTCATTAAAATTAAAAATTTTGCTTTGTGAAAAACACTATAAAGAGAATGAAAAGAGAAGCCACAGACTGGGAGAAAATACTTGCAAAAGACATACCAGATAAAGGACTGTTACCAAAAATGTACAAAGAAATCCTGAAACTCAACAATAAGAACACAACCTGATTTTAAAATTGGCCAAATATCTTGACACCTCACCAAAGAAGATTACACATAAGCATATGAAAAGATGCTCTACATCATATGTCATCAAGGAAATGCACATTTAAAACCATGAGATACCACCACACACCTGTTAGAATGGCCCAGATCCAGAACACCAACACCACCATTTGCTGGTGAAGATGTGGAATTCTCATTCATTGCTGGTGGACATGGAAAATGGTACAGCCACTTTGGAAGACAGGTGAGCAGTTTCTTACAAAACTAAGCACACTCTTACCATGAGATCTGGCAATTATCTTTCTTGATATTTACCCAAAGCAGTTGAAAACATGTCCACCCAGAAACCTGCACATGATTGTTTATAGCAACTTCAAAATTGCCAGAATTTGGAAGCAGCCAAGGTGTTCTTTATTTAGGTGAATGGATAAATAAACTCATACTTCTAGACAATGGGATATTATTCAGTGCTATAAAGAAATGAGCTGTCACATCATGAAAAGTCATGGAGGAGCCTGAAATTCATCTTACTAAGAGAAAGAAGCCAATCTGAAAAGACTGCATACTGTATAATTTCAACTATCTGATATTTTGGAAAAGGCAAAACTAAGAAGACAGTGGATTGGAGGGGAGGGAGGGATGAATAGGCAGAGCACAGAGGATTTTTTAGGGCAATGAAACTATAATGGTGATTACATATCATTATCTATTTGTCCAAACCCACAGAATGTCCAACACCAGGAATGAACTCCAATGTAAATTATGGACTCTGGGTAATAATGATGTACCAATGTGTGTTCATCAGTTGTAACAAATGTGCACTCTTGTTGGGGATGTCGATAGTGTGGGAGACAGCATGTTTTGGGACGGGGAACATATGCGAAATCTCTTCCTTCTGCTCAGTTTCACTGTGAACACAAAACTACTTTTAAAAAAGTCTATTTTAAAAAGAGAAGAGGGCTTAGGACAGAACCTTAGAGAATTCTTAATATTGAAGAACTAACCTTAGAATAGTTCTGCTGTTCCTTGTGAAAATAATTAACTTAAATGTCTGCTCTGAATATAAAAGTGAACGTAAGCTGTTTTTAGTAAATTTTCTGTAGGCAAATGATGAAATAATTTTTTTTTTACCTGTTTTCTGATATAGTGACCCTTAGTGTTCATACTTTTAACAGTCTCAGCTTTGATACTCAGAAACAACATGGAGAACCAGAGAATATAGTGATTTGTTATTTTGCTGAGGCACAAATTCAAACCACATTCACTTTAAGACTCCTGTTTGGGAGAGTAACTTAGCTCTTAAGTAAGCTTAGCATTCCTTTCTGTAAGATTCTCTGCTCCTCATCTCTTGCTTAGTGACACCTGAAGTATCTGAAGGAATCACGTGTCTGTGTTCATTAGTTTCATGCATATTAATTGGGAAATTCCATGTAGTATTGGTGAGTTTGAGGATTAACAAAGATTTGTATTGGGCCACATATCTTGAAAATACCAAGGATATACTATGCCTATTGTAAATTAAATTTGGCCTTGTCTCCTAGCATTAGAATATTTTATGACTAACACTAGGCGTTTAGTTATGATAGGGGAAAAGGATAAATATTTGAGTACCTTGTTTATATAAGAATAACTCCTTTTTTTTTCTGCTTGGGGAAAACATTCAGTGGAGATCTTAATAAGGACTGACTTGGTAACAGAATGGATATTAGTGGTGGATGACATCTATACAGCCAGACACAAATCTGTACTTGTTGGACCCTAAATAAGTGTATAAATATTTGTTATATTTCCTAAAATGATTGGTCTGTAAGATAGTTAATAGTAACTTATGCAAAAGTCCAGAAATTAGGTGTTCATATTCACTGAGAAAAGTCTGCCTTAAAAATTAAACTTCTTTTTTCTGATATTAAGAGCACTATGAAAATATATAGAATAAAAAGTAGAAGCTATCCTCTGCCCACTGTGTAGAAGTCGGCTTATCCTCCATTGGGTGTTAATGTTTACATTTTTCCATGCGTTTCTATACGTGTGTGTACAGATGTGCAAACATCATTTTTGGGTTTAATTTGTTTTGTTTGCCCTTAGTGGGGTAATACAGTAAGTATTATTTTCCAACTAGCAGTTTTTTTTTTTAACTCCAGCATTTCTTAGAGCTTGCATTATGCATTGTGCATTGTGAATCTCCAAAAGTGGGATACATGATACTGCATGTGTCAACTTGACCCTAAAAACCTCTTGTCCAGGAGCCTCTTATAGACACACTGGTTTGGGGAGTACTGATTTGCAGTTTTTGCCTAATATCTGGGAAACAGGGTGGTGATTTTGCTTTATGATCCAGTTAATGGTGAGTCATTTTATAATATAAAATTATTTCACATGTGGCCTTTTTGTTTAGATCTGTTAGTCAAGTGTATTGGTGAAGAAACCAAGTATGAAAGCATCAGACTTCTGTTTGATGGCTTACAGCAGCCAGTACTCAACAAGCAGGTAAAGCACATTAAAGCTGATAAACTCGTGTTGGCTAGGTTTGGTGAATGACATAGTAAGGTGTCTGGTAACTTATTAGCTGTATAAATGACACTATACTAAACCAAGGCAATATAATTTTAAACATTCAGATAGAAAAGAAGTTTTATTTGTGTTACTCTTTTTATGTCAGTTTTTTTCTTAATAAGATGAATTATTTTGATTTAAAATTAATATATAGTAATTGCAGAAAATTTGGAATAGAAAATTCATGAAATACAGTAAAAAATTAAAAATTGATAATTCCATTGTTCAAGTCACATAGAATAACCAGTTAATATTTTTATGTTTATGGTTTATGTAAACTATATATAAGCTTTACATATTCTGTTGAGATCTTGATACGTTGTAATTTTGTCTTTTTGTTTTTCTAAAAATTAAAATATTTAACATAAAAATGAATTAATGAGGCATAATAGAGTGTCCTTACGCAAACACATGTGTACTTATTACTTATTTTGGAAATAGAACAATATTGATACTACCGAGGCTATTTTTGTGCTTGTTTTATATTATCAGTCCCATTCCTTGCCTTCTCACTTAGAAGTAACCACAATCTTTAATTTTGTGTTTATCATTTTTATGGTTTTTATGTTTAGTGCCTAACATTTATTATTATTCTTTTTTTGGTGCTTTAGCTGACTTATGTTTTATTGGACATTGTGATACAGGAACTGTTTCCAGAGCTCAATAAGGTAACTGAAAAGCAGTAATTTTATTCATTATTTTCTTAATGGTATACTGACATTTATTTTAATTAGGGACATAAATGTAAGAAAACCCTTGTCTCTGTTCTCTGTGATTCTTTAAAAAATTAACCTCAGCAAGTTGCCTTTTATATTTTCTTTATTAAACATGCCCAAACAAATGTGGGGGACAGCTATTGAATAGCTTCTGCTTTGACTTCATCCCTTTTTAATTACAAGCAGATAGGGACCCTACAGTCTTTCCAGGAGAAGTGAGTTTAAGTCCTAGCACTAGAATAGGCCAAGCTCAGTGTTGTCATCTGCACCATTGTATGCTGTATAAGTCAGAAACTGGAGTATTTTTGAAGCAATTTTTATATAAACCCAAGTACAAAATGAACTAAAATTAGAGCACGATCATATTATTATGTTGAATCTTGAGGATTTTGAGTTTTGAGCAAAGTTTCAAGTCATTATTTTCTGTCTTATTTTTTGACTAATCCTTTTGGTTGGATGAAACAACTATTGTTCAGTGCTGTGGTGTTGCAATGAAGTGTCACTTTTGCAGAGTAGAGGAAACCAGATTTGTGCTATTTACTTATTATAAACTTTCAAGTTGGCCAGGCGCGTGTCTTACGCTTGTAATCCCAGCACTTTGGGAGGCTGAGGCAGGGGGATCACGAGGTCGGAAGATCAAGACCATCCTGGCTAACACAGTGAAACCCCGTCTCTACTAAAAATACAAAAAATTAGCCGGGCATGGTGGCAGGTGCCTGTAATCCCAGCTACTCGGTAGGCTGACGCGGGAGAATTGCTTGAACCCGGGAGGCGGAGGTTGCAGTGAGCCGAGATCGCGCCATTGGACTCCAGCCTGGGTGACAGAGCGAGACTCCATCTCAAAAAAAAAAAAAAATTTCAAGTTATGATATTAAGTGCATGTTAAAACAGAGTGGCAGTTACAGACTTTATATCTTTAATTTTCATGGGAATCAACAACAGGAAACCTTTAGCTATGTTTGAGACTTCATAAGGTCTGTCATTAAATATTGCCTTTTTTTCTCATATCTAGAACATAGATATTACTTGCTCCATATGCCAACCAATTTATTTTGGTTTACAATATATATATGTCTTAGGTTAGAATTTTAATTCTAACTAGAGCTGTTAGGCAATTTACAAATGAACCTGTGTCTTCTTGTCTTATGTTAAATGGATTTATTTTTACTTTAGGTACAAAAGGAAGTTACCTCTGTGACATCTTGGATGTAAACACTTGGATTTGGTATAGAATAACCCATTGAAATTTCTGCTGTGCTAGGGTGGTATAAGTGTACTTTTTTGGGTATATTCTTATATATATTATGTACATTGCTGTCTGAAATTTTAATTATTTTTTGTTTTTAATAAAGACTAACATAAACTTAATAATGATTAAAAGTGATTGAGTCTCATAGCCTGTCATTTGCTAGCTATGATCCAAATTTTATTAGAACATACGTCACTTGTTATTGCCATTTTTAAAAGAGAAAATTCGTAATGATAGGGCAAACAGATAAGACTGATAAACTTCGTATTGTATAACTTTGAAAATAATTATGCCTAGTATGGAGAAACAGGAGTAAGATCTGATTTTCTTATGTAGAGTTAATATATTTTAGTAGATTGGTTTTCCTTTTTTTATTTTGTACATAGTTAACTGTGTATCTATAAATAAAACATCCTGTATGAGTTTTTCATAATAAACAAGGGACTTCTCCTTATTCTTGCTGGGTGTCTGACAGGCCGTAGCCCTGTTCGGTGTGAAAACTGAATACTTACAGATACTTGTGATTGTGTGGTTGCCTCTAAGTTTCACTGAATTGTCTGTAACTATCAATATATTCCCAAAGCTCATATAAACAATTTAGGCAAGTAGGTTTTTAGTTTATGTTGTCTGTTATCTCTTCAAAAGAAAAATGTAGAATTACTTATACTTCTTGAAAGTTAACTTAAAAGATTATTTTTAAAGAATCAGTGTTTCAGAATTTTTGCAGTTCCTTACCATGTCTCACAGTTATCCTTGAAACAAATTTGTCACGATTGAGCATTTTGCATTAGGTTATTGGCTGTAGTGTTTATTCAGAATATTTATTGAGCTTCATCCATGTATTAGACACTAAGCTGGGTAATGTGAGAACACTGAATATAATTTAGAAAATTAACAAATTTAATTATACCATTCATTTTTCTCAAGATTTCAAAAAATGGTTGTTAGGTGTTACAAATTTTTTAAAAGGTTTTCTTAGCAGTTCTGTTATACTTTTAAATACTTGAAAGTTCTAGGATATGTATGAGTTTCCGTGAATCAGTGGGTTTTTTTTCTTTTTTTTTTTGAGACGGAGTCTCGCTCTGTCGCCCAGGCTGGAGTGCCGTGGCGGGATCTCAGCTCACTGCAAACTCCGCCTCCGGAGTTTATGCCATTCTCCTGCCTCAGCCTCCCGAGCTGCTGGGACTACAGGTGCCCGCCACCTCGCCCGGCTAGTTTTTTGTATTTTTTAGTAGAGACGGGGTTTCACCGGGTTAGCCAGGATGGTCTCGATCTCCTGACCTCATGATCCGCCCGTCTCAGCCTCCCAAAGTGCTGGGATTACAGGCTTGAGCCACCACGCCTGGCCCGAATCAGTGGTTTAATACCAAGCCTTAATGAACAGTTACTGATTTCTCAGGGACAGGTGGAAAATTGATCAAACCATTCACATTTAAATCCATGGCATTTTGAATATTATTATTTAAAATGTCATAGGTAAACTGGAAAAATGAAATATTTTACAGCCTTTTTTATGTCATCCTTACCTATTCTTCTTTAAATTGTGATATTCTCTTTATTTAGATAAGAAAAAATTTGTGGGTGTATCATGTCTACTCGAGTTGCCTTAACAAAACACTAGACACTGGGTGGCTTACCACAGACGTGTACTTCTCACCGTTATGGAGGCTGGGAATTCCAAGATCAAGGTGCCAGCAAATTAGGTTCCATTCTGAGGCCTGTTCTCTTGGCTTGTAGGTGGCTGGCTTCTCGCCGTGTGCTCACATGACCTCTTGTACACATGTGGAGAGGTAAAAAGAAATCTCATTCTTTCTTCCTCTTCTTAAAAGGCCACCAATCCTGTTGAATTACGGTCTGACTCTTTGGACTTCATTTAACCTAAATTATCTCCTAAAGGTTCTATCTTCAAATATAGTCACATTGGGATTTATGGTTTCAGCATATGAATTTTAGGATATAGTACAATCCATAACAGTAGGTGAGCTCTATTTAAAGAAGATGTTATGTATAAATGTCTGAACATATACAGTTAATAAACCACATTATGAAAGGTGAAAGGAACTAAAATGCAATCCCTATTTAATTTGCCAGGCACTTTATACACATCATCACAGCAACTCTGAGGTGGTGGTTCTTCTATTTTATAGATGAGGATATGGGGGCCTGAACGAGTGGTAAAATTAGAATTTGAATTAGTATCTCTCTAGTCTTCACGTTCTTGTCACTGTTGCACCTTGAAAGGAACTTGTTTTCAGATGTAGTCACTCTCTGGATCCCTTTAAAAAGTATGCTCCCTGATTTATTTCAAAAATTTACTTTGCACATTCCTTTCTATTCATGTTTGTGTGTGTCCTCTAGTGTATGAGCTTCATGAAGAACACATTTTTAAATGTGTTTACATAAACAGAGCTGTCAGTTTTTCTGGTTGGGGGAGATACAATGAAGTTAAATAGATGTGAAAACACTTTGAAATTTATAAAGAACATGTAAGATTGTGTTAAAAGTATTAAATTTTTTTTCTTCAACTTTTAAGTTCCGGGGTACATGTGCAGGCTTTGTGTGGGTTTGTTACATAAGTAAACGTGTGCCATGGTGGTTTGCAGCACAGATCAACCCATCACCTAGGTATTAAGCCCAGCATCCATTAGCTATTCTTCCTGATGCTCTCCTTCCCCCTGCCACCTCCTGGACCCCCACCACAGGCCCCAGTGTGTGTTGTTCCCCACCATGTGTCCATGTGTTTTCCTTGTTCAGCTTCCACTTGTGAAAACATGCAGTATTTAGTTTTCTGTTCCTGCATTAGTTTGCTAAGGGTAATAGTTACATATTAGAAGATTCTGATTGAAAGCATTTAAATTACCATTTATTGACTTCCTAAAAAATGTTATATTTTTACAATAGAAGTATAAACAGAAGTCTGATTTGCCCACTGTTGTTCTTAGCAGACTGTATAATGACATATGTACAAGTTATAATTTCAGATATAATCAACATGAGAATAAAAAATGACTGACTGAATGAAGAAACAAATGAGTATGTCTTCTTAGCCCACTATACAGTAGTACTCCTTTATCTGCAGTTTTGCTTTCCAAGGTTTCAGTTACCCAAGGTCAACCAAGGTCTAAAAATAGGCAAGTACGGTATAATAAGATATTTTGAAAGACCGCACTCACATAACTTTTGTTATAGTATGTCATTGTAATCATTCTATTTTGTTAATCTCTTACTGTGCCTAATTTTACATTAAATTTTATAGGTATGTATGTATAAGAAAAACAGTACAGTCATGTGCTTCATAATGATGTTTTAGTCAATGATGGATTGCATATATGACAGTGGCCCCATAAGATTGTAATGGAGCTGAAAAATTCCTGTCGCTTGGTGATATAGCCAACTTAATGTCATAGGACAACATTTGTGGTGATGCTAGTGCAAACCTGTATTTCCAGTCACAGAAAATTGGTAATAAACCACTGTATTACTGGCTTATATATTTAGTATACTTTTTAGCATTACTTTAAGGTGTACTCCTTCTGCTTATAAAAAAAAGAGTTGACTATAAAAAAGCTCAAGACAGGTTTTTCAGGAGGAATTCCAGAAGAAAGCATTGTTATCTTAAGAGAGGACAGCGCCATGCATGCTGCTGCCCCTGAGTACCTTCAGTGGCATAAGATGTGGAGGTGGAAGATAGTGATGTTGATGATCCTGTCCCTGTGTAGGCTTACACTAGTGTGTATGTGTCTTAGTTTTTTGTTTTTTTAAACTTCTGTGAGACAGGGTCTCACTTTGTTATCCAGGCTGGAGTGCAGAGGCGTGATTGCAGCTCACTGCAGCCTCAAACTCCTGGGCTCAAGGGATCCTCCTGCCTCAGCCTACCAAGTAGGTATATTCCCAGGCGTGAGGCTGAGGCGGGAGGATCCCTTGAGCCCAGGAGTTTGAGAACAGCCAGGGCAACAGAGTGACATCCTTTCTCTGCAAAAAAAAAAAAAAAAAAAGAGAATTAACCGGACATGGTGGCACATCCCTATAGTCCCAGCCACTTATGAGGCTGAGGTGAGAGGATTACTTGAGCCTGGGAGGTTGAGGCTTCAGTGAGCAGTGATTGTGCCATTGCACTCTACCCTGGGCAACGGAGTGAGACCCTTTCTCTAAAGAAATTAAAGAAAAATAAAAATAGAAAAAAAGCTTATAGAGTAAAATATAGTAAAAGAAAATACTTTTGTACAGCTGTACAATATGTTTGTGTTTCAGGCTAGGTATTAGAAAACTGTCAAAAAGTTAATGCTACTCTCTTTTTTTTTTTTTTTTTAATTTATTTATTATTATTATACGTTAAGTTGTAGGGTACATGTGCATAACGTGCAGGTTTGTTACATATGTATACTTGTGCCATGTTGCTGTGCTGCACCCATCAACTTGTCATTTACATCAGGTATAACTCCCAATGCAATCCCTCCCCGCTCCCCCCTCTCCATGACAGGCCCCGGTGTGTGATGTTCCCCTTCCTGAGTCCAAGTGATCTCATTGTTCAGTTCCCACCTATGAGTGAGAACATGCGGTGTTTGGTTTTCTGTTCTTGTGATAGATTGCTAAGAATGATGGTTTCCAGCTGCATCCATGTCCCTACAAAGGACACGAACTCATCCTTTTTTATGGCTGCATAGTATTCCATGGTGTATATGTGCCACATTTTCTTAATCCAATCTGTCACTGATGGACATTTGGGTTGATTCCAAGTCTTTGCTATTGTGAATAGTGCTGCAATAAACATACGAGTGCATGTGTCTTTATAGCAGCATAATTTATAATCCTTTGGGTATATACCCAGTAATGGGATGGCTGGGTCATATGGTACATCTAGTTCTAGATCCTTGAGGAATCGCCATACTGTTTTCCATAATGGTTGAACTAGTTTACAATCCCACCAACATTGTAAAAGTGTTCCTATTTCTCCACATCCTCTCCAGCACCTGTTGTTTCCTGACTTTTTAATGATCGCCATTCTAACTGGTGTGAGATGGTATCTCATTGTGGTTTTGATTTGCATTTCTCTGATGGCCAGTGATGATGAGCATTTTTTCATGTGTCTGTTGGCTGTATGCATGTCTTCTTTTGAGAAATGTCTGTTCATATCCTTTGCCCACTTTTTGATGGGGTTGTTTGTTTTTTCTTGTAAATTTGTTTGAGTTCTTTGTAGGTTCTGGATATTAGCCCTTTGTCAGATGAGTAGATTGCAAAAATTTTCTCCCATTCTGTAGGTTGCCTGTTCACTCTGATGGTAGTTTCTTTTGCTGTGCAGAAGCTCTTTAGTTTAATGAGATCCCATTTGTCAATTTTGGCTTTTGCTGCCGTTGCTTTTGGTGTTTTAGACATGAAGTCTTTGCCCATGCCTATGTCCTGAATGGTACTACCTAGGTTTTCCTCTAGGATTTTTATG